TATTATCATATCATTTACATGTAGACTACAATATAATATTATAGTGATTGTTCATGGCGAGTTAATAAATATTAAATTAAACCGTAAATAATCATACCGTACATATACAGTAATATAACCACTTTGTAGTCACATATCGTGATATTTTAGGCATTCTTTTGGTAGGCATCAATTTTCATTGTATAAATTATTTGGTGCTTGATGTAATTAAACCAAAGGCTTTAGCCTATTAATATAATTATCTCTAGTTTATGTTAAAAAAAAAATATCGTGATATTTTTTGTAAATGATACAGAGTAGAATTTATCATTCTAGCTTAATACCAATAACTAAAGATAGAGTAGATTCTAGCTAAAAGGTACCAATAAGTAAAGATGGTGACAAGGTTTAATAAGTTATTAGGCCAAAAGGTTAGCTAGCAACTACATGGCTATCGCCCCCAACAGCAGCAATACTTTTCTTTTACCACAAGATCTTACTACCCTGCTTCCATATCCCACCTCAATACCTCATCCATGACCTCATCTCGAAAAGTCAAATTTAATTACTAATTCTTGTTATTGAAATTGTAATCGTTAAAATTGGTGATTATATTTTAACAAAGGTTACATCCTCCTTTTATTTGTGGAGCAATTTTTATAAATGACTTTTGTTTAATGCAATAATTCTAAATATGGAATCGTATGAATCTCTTTAAGCCTGTAATGATCCTCAAATTTTCTTCATTCATTTTCTTCTGCATCACTTACTTTTATACGAAGTATTAAACTATTAATTATTCATCCACTTTAAATCTTTATTTCATAATTTTTAATTTTTCAACAATATTTTAAAAAAAAAAAAAAAAAAGTAGATTAGGGTTTCTCCTTGGAAGGGTTTTTTTGATTCCCTATACGATTTCCTCTTGGGCAATGCATGGTTCGTGCAGGCGGATGCACGATCCACATGGTGCATCTCTTCCAAAAAAAAGCGGAAAGAACATTGCATAGAAATATAAAGAACATTTAGTTTAAGTGAAAGGAACATATTATAGAATTGTAAAGAACATTGTATAGAAATGTAAAGAACATTCCGTTAAAGTGCAAAGAACATGTTATAAAATTGTAAAGAACATACCGTGCAGTTAAATAATGTTCTTTATCTTCATGTTCTTTGATTGTCAGAATAATGCACTTTTATTTGCGACATATGTTAATTGTTTATTTTGAAATGTTCTTTGAATTTTGTCTTTAGATTATGGTGGTTGAATAAATATAATGTTCATTACATTATATTATCATTAAAGGTGATAAAAAATTCGAGCCAGGCTGGGCTATAACATAATAGCTCGTGTCCAAAAAACCCGGAAAATGTAGTGGGCTTTTCGGCTTTTTTTCGGGCCGAGTTTGGACTTTTTTTAACTAAAAATGCATTTTTAGGCTTGTCTAAACCCGCCCTATTTTCGGGTTGGATCGGGCCGGGCCGGGCCAAAGTTGATCACCTCTAATTATCATTTTTTAATTAATATTACGGATGTACTTTAGATTTATATAAAGAACGTGAAGTTGGATGTTTTTTTTACAAAATAGGTATATGTTCTTTATAAAACAACTATATGTTCATTACAATACAGCTATATGTGATGTTTTTTATGAAAAAACTATATGTTCTTTACAAAACAAATGTATGTTCTTTACTGAACAACGGAATGTTCATTCCGCGTTTTTAAAGAGAAAACGGATGCACGGAGCATCGTGCATCCACCTCCATAGAAAAAAAATCTCCTCTTGGGAGGGTTTTTCTAGCCTCCATTGCTAGATTTTTTCTGTGTTTTTTTAAAGTTTAATTTTCCTTCACTCTTCTCCTTTTTTTCTCCATCTTTCATCTCTATTCTTCTGATCTCAATTGTATTTTTTTGTAGGGGTTTTTACCGATGTTTGTATCGGTGGTAAGCCCCAAAAAACTTTTTAATTGCTTTCAATAAATGGATCTCATTCTTAGGATGGTGTTTATTCAATTAGGCTTATTTTTTTTGTTTGTTCGTGGGCTAAAGATCGAATATTTAGGGTTTTATCGTCTCCTAAAGTATTTAGAAGGCCATGTGATGAGTTTTTTCATCCAAACAATTACTCATTCGTAGATCACAAGTCGAATCAGTGCTAAGTTACAGATTGTATTGCTTCGTTTCGGATGAAGTTTTTATTTTTTATTTTTTATTAAGGCGATCGTTGATCGAATCTGCGATGTAACTAGTTCTAAGATGATTTGTACATATATTGGAATCTTAAATTTCATAAGTATTGTTTATAAGTATCATTTGACTATCTTTCATTAATAAAATTCTTTTTGTTCGTTCTAAAAAAAAAAAATCTTTTTGTTCTTGTCACAACAAAAAAAAAAAAAAAAAAAAAAATTGTTTCATATACCTAATTGTAGATTGATTATAGTAGTTATAAATGATCATCATTATCTTTTCTAATTACGGTTTATAATTTATACCATCGATGACTAGTCATCGTTATAATTTACAAGTAGCTCATGATGTATGAAGGAGCGAGGAGATCAAGATTATAATAGAGGTGTTAAAATACCGCCATCCAAAATTATCAAAATCGCCAATTTTTTTTTTTTTTTTTTTTTTTTTTTTTTTTTTTTTTATGCAAATGAGGCTAAAGCCAAAGAAAAGAAAAAACAAAAAAACCGCCAATATTTAGTGTGAATGGACAACCATGTTCTTAGTACTTCACTACTATCTTCCCTCTTGCCATCAATCATTAACACCTTGCCACCACCACCCTAATTGACGACCACCACCACCACCACCACCCCTACCACACTAACCGGCGACCCACCACCTTCCCTCCTTTTTAAAAAAAAAAAAAAATTCAGGCAATTGCGGTAACCAAAGCCAAAAATCAATTACTGCGTAAACGGAGCTTAAAATCGGTTACCGTGCATGATAACCGAAGCTCAAAAACGGTTATCGTGCATGGTAATCGGTTTTGGGCTCCAGTTATTACCATAGAATCAGTTAAGGTGCACGGTAACCGGAGCCCAAAACCGGTTGTCGTGTGAGGTAAGTTGGTAACCGGTTTTGGGCTTCAGTTACCACGCACGGTAACCGGTTTTGGGCTCCGGTTACCACAGTTGCCTGAAATAAAAAAAATATCACCTTCACGCCGGCTAGGGAAGGTGGTGGGTTGTCATAGAGGGGGGTGTGGTAGGTCGTCGGTCAAAAGGGGTTGTGATCGCTGGTTGGAAGGGGTTGTGGGTTGCCGGGAGGATGAAGGGATGGTGAAGTAGTAAGGGTATGATTGTCCTTACACACCAAATGTTATCGGTGGTGATCATTTTTATTGACGGTGTTTAAAACACTTATAATTTTGTTCTTGTCAAAAAAAAAAATTATAATTTTGTTGTGTGGACGGATCCCATCAACGTACACTTGGACCATTCAGGGCCGTTTCTTAGATTTCGGTGGCCCGGGGCAAAAACATAAATTGGGGCCCTATTTCACATATACTATATAAAATTTTAAGAAAATTGGGTATGCAAAATGAAAATACATATTTTATTATGATTAATAATTTAAAAACATCAAATTTCATAAAACATTGAAATTACATTCCCGTAACTCTCGTTGAAATAATTACACCAGCCGAACCATTCAAACCAAGTATCCAACCAATCAATTTGATTTTTTTTCCCCAAATTTTGTAATATTTGAATGAAAGTAGTTATAAAGTTTAAGAAAAATATAATTTAATACAAATAAGAGAACTTGATGAATAAAGTCATGTATGCACCATTCAAAAAAAAAAGTAGGGTATGCAAAGAGAATTATATATAATTAGATAAATCCCCGTTAAAAATTGAAGAGTAAAAAGACCGTTTGTTTTAGTTTTCATCTTCAATTGAATCGAGAAAGAGAAGAAATTTAACTAATTGAAAATTGTAATGAGATACATTTTGAAAAATAAAATTACCAAAAACGGGGATACAATTAAAATTAATGACAATTTTTTTTTGTTAATCAAATTCACTTAGGAAAGTGAATAATTTGGGCAAAGAATTAGAGAAGAAATACGTTGACAAAAAATGTCATTTGATATTTTGGAATTCTATGGCACTATTGTAGTGTTGTATAGTACACATTTTTTGTTTTCTTTATTTCTTTTTTCTTAAAAATATATATACATAGTATTATTTAGTACGAAGTATATTTTTCTGGGACCTTGTATCATACTAAAGCTGGACTTTTTAATAAGGGGTCCAGGGCAGCCCCAGCTGCCCTCCCCTTGCTACGGCCCTGGGACCATTTCGGGGATTAGCCCACTATCAATACTGGGGACTTTTCTTCAAAAAAAAAAAAAAAACTTGGGGACTTGGGATTGTCTTGAGTTTTGATTGTGAACTCTTTTAGAATTTGTCTTTTTCACGTAACAAGCTAAGACAATTCAAAAGTTATCCCCACTATTCTACCACGTATATAACTGACTACATTAAAATTTTTGTTTTTATTTTTTTTATTAGTATTAATTTTGATTTTAATTTTTTTTACACGTATGTATTATAAGAAAAAACATCATGCAAAATATTGTTATGATATAACTTTTCATTATATCAATTACTTTCACAATAATTTTTACTTGTACTATTTATAATTAGGGTGAAACTAGTGTATTAACATTTTTAACAAGTACATTGTAATTTTTAAATTTAGCGATAAAAAATATTGTTTAGTATAAACCCAAAATATACGATATTTAGTGATTGAAGCGATTTTACTAGATATATGATGAATTTGGATCTCAAGTCAACAAGATTTTATTTGGGGAAATTTTGACTTATATTTTTAAAAATGATTTTCATAGATTAAAAATTGACTAATGGAGATTAAATCTTTTTTCCTAACTTGAATTAACTCCTCATACCTGACCAATTTCCAATTCCTTTAATTTTGAACTTTTTGAATAGTCCGATTTTTATTATTTATTTATTTATTTATTTATTTTTTTTTAACTTAGGCCAATGCTCCTCAAATTTTCAATTTTGTCGGCTTAATACATTTGACCAATTGTCTTATCTGTTATTTTTGTGGGTTTAATATATTTGAGTTTGTATAATATCTTAGAAAATTTAACCTATTATAGAAAATTCTCATATTTGTATTATATCCGTACATCACACGAAAGCTAATCTAGTATCTTAAAAAATTTAAGCAATTATATATCTACGTACTACCTCCGTTACATATTATTTTCAACGATTTGACATAAAGTAGAGAGAAAATGTCTAGTCGTCGCAAATAATATGTAACAGAGGTAGTAATTCGTATCATATATACCCATCACGTGGCATTTGTTTAATACACTTCTTCTTCCTATCTTCTCACTAATCACTTTACTAATCCATCTTTAAAAAATTAAATGGAGTTGGTGCTTATACCAACACCAGGAATGGGCCACCTTCTCTCCGCCGTAGAGTTAGCCAAGCGCATCCTTGACCGCGACCACCGCATTTCGATCCTCATCCTCATCTTAAACATCCCCATGAATTCCCAAATGCTCAATTCCTTCATCAACTCCCAATCACGTGACAACCATTACCCTACTCGCCTCACCTTCTCTTCATTGCCACCCCTCTCAAACCCTCCAGACCCCACCTCCCCTAACTACTTCCAAACTCTCATTAGCCTTCATAAACCACTCGTTAAAACCGCTGTCGAGGACAAAGTCAAGGCCGGTAGCCTTGCCGGGTTTGTCCTCGACATGTTTTGCACTACCATGATTGAAGTTGCTGACCACTTCATGGTCCCCTCGTATATTTTCTTTACTTGCGGAGCAAGTATGTTAAATCTTTTATTTCATTTCTTTGTGTTGGAAGATGATCAAGAGGTTGACATCGCTGCTAAACTCAACGAACCGGGTATCGAATTGGATGTACCCGGGTTCATTAACCGTCTCCCCGGGAAAGTTGTCCCTGAAGGTTTAGTCAGCAAGGAATTTGGGTCTTCTTCTAGGTTTTTTGATCACTTTAAGAAGTTTAAAAAATCCAAGGGTATAATAGTAAATACGTTCACTGAACTTGAAACGTTTGGTGTACAATATTTGTTTGATCAAGCGAGTAAGGATGGTGTGCCGGCAATTTATCCTGTGGGCCCCATCTTGGAGCTCGATACTAAGGGCCGAGGTGGGCACCGAGGTGATGATGAGGAGTCTATTATAAAATGGCTAGATGATCAACCTCCATCTTCGGTGGTGTTTCTCTGCTTCGGGAGCATGGGCAGCTTCGATGAAGATCAAGTAATTGAGATAGCTAACGGCCTAGAGAAGTCCAGATATCGGTTCTTGTGGTCCTTACGAAGACCACCAATCGAGGGTGAACTTGAACTACCAAGTGAGAATGAAATATTTGAGGAAGCATTACCTAAGGGCTTTCTAGACCGTACGGAAGAAAGAGGGAAAATTATAGGGTGGGCACCACAAGTCTCGATCCTAAGCCATAAGGCTGTAGGAGGGTTCGTGTCACATTGTGGTTGGAACTCGATACTAGAGAGTTTGTGGTTTGGGGTGCCTATGGCTACGTGGCCGTTGCACTCAGAGCAGCAATTGAACGCTTTCGAGCTAGTGAAGGAGCTTGGACTAGCGGTGGAGATAAGGATTGATTATCGACGTGATTGGAAGACTAAGAAAGGAAACATTAAGGTGACCGCGGAGGAGATCGAGAATGGGGTGAAAAAGTTGATGAGTTTGGATGAGGGGACCAAGAGCAAAGTAAGGGAAATGAGTGACAAAAGTAGAGATGCATTAGAAGATGGTGGTTTATCTCATAAAAGGTTGGGTCAATTTATTGAAGATGTTTTGAATAATGTTGCTTAAAGTATTTGGTTTATATGGACTATACGTCATAAAGTGTTGCAAACTGATTGCATTTGTTAATGTATTCTAAGCTTTGACTTACTACTTAATGTAACGTGATCTATCTATGTTATGTACTGTATCATATCATTTACATGTACTTGGTATCTGATTATATATTTATAGGGTTTTTTTAATTTTTTTTTTTTTTTTTAATAATGACTATATATTTATAGTGATTGTTGAGTTATTGTTGTAGGGTCCTGGCGAGTTAATAAATGGTAAAAAAATATATAAATATAGTAATATAAGCATTTTGTAGTCACATAGGGTGATATTTTTGTAAATGATAACATTATAGCTAAAATTAAAGTACAAACAAAATAAGATGGCCTACTTTAATTAAATTAGGCCAAAAGATTAACTAGCAACTACGTGATTATCGACTCAACATCAGCAATATATACCTTTTGTTTTCCCCTAGATCTTATTACCCTTCCATTTCCCACCTCATCCATGACCTCATCCCTGGAAGTAAAATTTAATTAGAAAACACTTAGGGCATGTTCTCATTGACTGAACTCAACTGAATTGAACTGAATATTTTATAAGAGAAGAAAATTAGGAACTGAACTGAGCTGAGCTGAACTGAACTGAGCTAAACTGAACTAAACTGAACTAAATTTCAACGTAAGAGAACAAGCCCTTAATGTTCGTTTTATTGAAATTGCAATCATTAACATTTGAAAATTACAATATATTATAGTAAAGGTTACAACCTTTAATTTGTTTATATAAGGGTCTATTCTAATTTATTGAACTGAGCTGAGCTGAGCTGAACTGAACTAAATAGACTTGAAATAAATTGTTTATGAGAGAAGGAACTCAAAAATTAAACTGAGCTAAGCTGAATTAAGCGGAGCTGATCTGAACTATACTGAAATTAAGCTGAAGAGAACAGACTTTAAGTGCAATAATTTTCATAAATGACTTTTATTTAGAGCAATAGTTTTAAAATGGGAAACCTATAATCTTTTTTTTTTTTTTTTTTTTGCCTATAATCCTCATTTTTTTTCCTACTGAAAAAAAAGAGGAAGGAGTATAAAATATTAATACACTCTGTTCCATAATACCTAATCATAGAGTATAACTAGTCTTTTGACCCGTTCGATGCACGGGTTGTTACTTAGGTTATTTTTCTTGAAAAGTATCGGTGTTGTTGTGGAATTTAGTTAGGTATATATACATATACTTCATCCGTTTTCTTTTACTTGCAACACTTCCCTAAAAAGGAAATGTCACAATACTTGCAACACACTATAAAAGGAAAGTTACTTTAGGGAAAAACTATACTATATCCCTTATTTAAAGCACATGGCCCACTAAATTACACTCCTAACAACCACTCATCTTATTTTAAAGTTTATTATATCATGTAAACCCCACCTTTCTTAATTATCGCACTAAAGGGTGTTTTGCATTTAAAAGAAAACGGAGGAAGTATATTGCAGGGCATGAAATGACACATTGGTTTAAGTTATATTTAAGGGTCTGTTCTCATTGACTGAACTCAGCTGAACTGAACTGAATTGAGCTGAACTAAGCTGAGCTGAGATGAGCTGAACTGAACTGAACTGAATTGAATTGAAATGAATATTTTATAAGAGAAGGAAATTAGGAGCCGAACTGAACTGAACTGAACTGAACTTCAACATAAGAGAACAGGCCCTAAGTTTAGAAGATGAAAAGACTTTTTTATTGTTAATGTAATGAACACTAATTAGTTTAACTTTATTTTTTTATATTGAATATGAAACACTTGATTTTCTTACTTAAATTTGTAAGTTTTAGAATGCATAAAGATTAAAGACTCAAACATTATATATATATTTTTTAAATTACAATGGGAATTTAAAAAGAAAGGATTAAGAGTGGTGACATGTGGCATATGAGTGATTATGGTGACATGTGGCTTAGTATAGATTTGTGGTTTGTGTTTTTAAATACTAAGTATAGATATAGATATAGATATAGATTATAGTAGTTGTAAATGACCATCATTATCATTACTAATCTATAATCTATAATCTATAATTATAACTAAAATAGAAACCGCTTACATCATTATTGTACACATGTCAATTTTTCATGAAAAAATTTCCCTCCAAAATTGTTTATGACATCATTTTTCTCATATTTTTCTCCTTCCAAATTTAATATTGGGAAAATAATTTTTAATAAATAAATTAAAGTGTGAACATCAATTAACCAAAAACGTATTAGTGATCTCTTTCAGAAACCCTCATTTTGTAATTTAATTATTTTATACTATATTGAATTTATTTATTTATTTATTATTTTTTTATATTTAAAATCGTGCATAGCACGAGGGCTAATCTAGTTACGATTTATAATTTGCACCATCCATAATTTAGTCATCGTTATCATATACAAGTAGCTCACGATGTATGAAGGAGAGGAGATCAAGATTATAATTTTGTTTGTGTGGACGGATCCCATCCACGTACACTTGGACCATTTCGGGTATTTAGCCCCATCTCTAGTGCGGCATGGGCAACTAAGCCTACTTTTTTAAAAATTTGTCTTTTTTAAGTAACAAGACAATTGAGAAGTTGTTTCCAAGAAACTTAAGAAGTTCTATTCTATAATGCAGTAATACATTACACTTTTTTCATTATTATATTCACATTGATTATGATTTTTTTTTTTTACAAGTTTATATTATAATAAAAATAATCATGAATAAAATTGTTGTGATATAAAGTTTCATTATATCAATTATTTTCAAAATAATTTTTACTACTCTAATATTTACTAGTACTTATTTATAGTTAGAGTCAAATTAGCGTATTAACAAGTATGTAAAGTTTTAATGTTGAAACAAAGATACAAATAGTATTCGGTACAATAAAAGTATATACTACAACAAATCGAATAACATAAACAGTAACAGTAACAATTTTATTTTTAGTTGTTAAACAAAGATAGTAACAATTACTCCATATTAACTACAAAATGTGAAGTATATATTAGTCTAGTAAGTATATGTTTTTAAATTTATTAATTTGTACATAAATAGTACAGTCAAATTTATAACCATAAAGTCATACCACTTTCTAAATTTTACTTCCTACATAAGTACAAAGTATTATATATACCCCTCCTTGTAACATTATTTGTTTAATATACAATACAACTATACAATTACTATCTTCTTGACTTGTTCCTATCTTTTCACTACTATACTGCACTCCATCTGAAATACAATGGAGCTGGTGTTTGTACCAACACCAGGAATGGGCCACCTTCTCTCCGCCGTAGAATTAGCCAAGCGCATCCTCGACCGCGACCACCGCATTTCAATCCTCATCCTCATCTTCAACATCCCCATGACTTCCCACATGCTAAACTCCTTCATCGAATCCCAATCACGTGACAATCATTACCCTACTCGCCTCACGTTCTGTTCGTTACCACCCCTCTCTAACCCTCCTGACTCCACCTCCCCCAACTTCTTCATCACCCTAATCAGCCTCCATAAACCACTCGTTCAAACCGCTGTCGAGGACAAAGTCAAGGCCGGCAGCCTTGCCGGGTTTGTCCTCGACATGTTTTGCACTACCATGATTGAAGTTGCCGATCACTTCATGGTCCCCTCGTATATTTTCTTTGCTTCCGGAGCTAGTATGTTAAATATTGTATTTCACTTCCTTATGTTGGAAGATGATCAAGGCATTGACGTCGCTGCTAAACTCGACGACCCGGATATCGAGTTCGATGCACCCGGCTTTGTTAACCGGGTCCCCGGAAAAGTTGTCCCTGAAGGGATAGTCAGCAAGGAAATTGGGTCTTTCAGGTTTCTTGATCAATCAAGGGAGTTTAAAAAATCCAAGGGTATAATAGTAAATACGTTCACTGAGCTTGAAACGTTTGGTCTACAACCTTTGTTCGATCAAGTGAGTAAGCATGGTATGCTGGAAATTTATCCAGTGGGTCCCATCTTGGAGCTTGATACGAAGGACCGAGGTGGGCACCGAGGTGATGATGGGGAGTCTATTATAAGATGGCTAGATGATCAACCTTTATCTTCGGTAGTGTTTCTCTGCTTTGGGAGCATGGGATGTTTCGATGAAGATCAAGTGATGGAGATAGCTAACGGCCTAGAGAAGTCCGGACACCGGTTCTTGTGGTCCTTACGAAAACCACCACCCAAGGATAAACTTGAAATGCCAAGTGAGCATGATACATTTGAGAACGTATTACCCGAAGGCTTTCTAGACCGTGTGGCCGAAAGAGGGAAAATTATAGGATGGGCACCACAAGTCTCAATCCTAGGCCATAAGGCCGTAGGAGGGTTTGTGTCACATTGTGGTTGGAACTCGACATTGGAGAGTTTGTGGTTTGGGGTGCCTATGGCTACGTGGCCGATGTATGCAGAGCAACAATTGAATGCATTCGAGCTAGTGAAGGAGCTTGGACTAGCGGTGGAGATAAGGATTGATTATCGAAGTGATTGGAAGACTAGGAAAGGAAACTATACTGTGACCGCGGAGGAGATTGAGAATGGGGTGAAGAAGTTGATGAGTTTGGATGAGGAGACCAAGAACAAAGTAAGGGAGATGAGTGACAAAAGTAGAAGTGCATTAGAAGATGGTGGTTCATCTCATAAAAGGCTGGGTCAATTTATTGAAGATGTTTTGAGTAATGTTGCTTAAAGTCTCGTGTGTAGTTATCTATTTATTATAATTTGTTGTATTTGGTTGTTATTTAGGTTCAATTTATTAAGTCGTATGTATTCTATTATTATTAAATTAAAGTTTTTTTTTTTTTTTTTTAAAAAAAAAATAGAAATATTAGCAACAACGCAATCTACTTATGAAGGTGAATGTTAAGAAAATACGTATTCTAATTTCTATTTTTTTTTTTAATTATTATTATTATTTTATTTTTGGATGTGGAAGTGGGCAAAGCCTAACAAAGAAAACGTAGTAGCATTTTTGTTGTTATTTTGTGTCGTGATGTTTGTATACATGCATGCGTTACATTAAAGGAGATAGTAATGTAACATACTTTTACTTTTCATTTATTTGTTTGTTTCTTGTTTGAAGTATATGGTTGTAACTTGCAAGCAAAATGTAATCTAGAAGGTCTTATTTTCCGTGGCACAGATTTGCACTCCGCACTTGTGAACACCTCCGCCGAATTATCTTTTTGGAGCATCTCATAGAATGATACTATATTATATATTACTATCCTTTTCATCAATTAACTAGCTAATAATTTAATACAGTATACTGTATTACTATTAGAAGGTTTTTTCATCCATTATAATATGGTGGATGATTGGATGTGGATTTGTGTATTCAGATATTGGGAAATAATCTTTTGGCATACATCCTTTGTGTAATCGTGTTAAAATATAATTGTCACATTTGTCTTTTATAAAGGTCAAATCTTGTAAATTAAACTTTGATTGCAATTCGGCCATTAACATACTAGTTTTTACCTATGTAAATGCACAAATTTATAAAGGTAGTTTTTCACAAAATGTCCATTAAAAAAAATAGATTTTAGTAGTCGATGCATCTCATATATTTATACCGTAGACAGTTATATAAATGTTGCGCAACTAATTTATGATAGAGGTGTATCAAACTTAATGCAATCACTAAATTATTATGTGCTTTAAAATATAAAAGGAGTAGTTTGTTGGAAAGAATAGGTATCTTCAAGATGGAAATAAAAAATAAATAAAAAAAAATAAAGAATAATAGACTAACAAAACAAGGAAAACGAATATAATGATATGAGTATATTAACAGAATAAGAAAGTTTTAAAATAAATAAATAAATAAATAAATAAATAGAATAAGAAATGGGATTGGCAGATTAATATAATAACTTCCAAAAAAAAATATACGATCTAACTAACAACAATAATCCTTGGAGAATTGATAGGAGATGAAACAAGACTAATTCTTTAAGAAGAATGTGTCACTATCCAAGCATATATGTATATATACAAGTACTAATCACAAATTCACGATACAAAATATTATGAAAATGCCGAAGGCCGAGCTAGTGTTAGTCCCAACCCCAGGGACTGGCCACTTAGTCTCAGCCGTCGAATTCGCCAAGCTCGTCATCAAAAATGACAAGCGCATCTCAATCTTAGTTATAGTCTTTCACATGCCAATGCATAATTCCGCCACCATCGATGCCTATATCGAGTCTCAATCCCATGAAGTCGATTCCGACTACATTACGTTCCTTACACTACCGCCTTTGTCAAGCCCACCGGATCCTGCTTCTAGCGGCTTCTTCAGTGCAATCATCGACCTTCAAAAGCCTCTCATCAAGCAAGCCGTTAAGGATCGGTCTAGAAAACCGGCTGCATTCGTGTTTGATCTCATGTGTGTCAACTTTATCGACATTGCTAAGGAGCTTCAAGTCCCTTCTTATGTGTACTTTACTGCGGGTGCATCACTTTTGAATCTCATGTTTTATCTCCAAGAACGTTTCGATGAAAAGGGTGTTTGTATTGGTTCCGAATTTAGTTACTCGGATGATGTCGAGTTAGACCTACCAGGGTTTAAGAACCGGGTGCCGGCTAAAGCATTGCCTATGTTGCTTTTCGATAAGGATAGTGAGTGTCCAACTTTTTTCGACGATTTAACTCGGAAGTTTCGAGAAACTAAGGGAATACTAGTCAATACTTTCACGGAGTTGGAACCCGGTCTTATTCGAAGTTTGCATGATCATGACAAGATTCCAACAGTTTACCCCATCGGTCCTATTCTAGCCCTCGAGGAAAATAGTCGTGGCGGTCCAAGGGAGGATGATCGAGCCTCGATCATGAGGTGGTTGGACGAGCAACCTACTTCCTCGGTGGTGTTCCTATGCTTTGGTAGCATGGGAAGCTTCGACGAGGAGCAAGTAAAGGAGATAGCAAATGGGTTAGACCGGTCCGGCCATCGTTTCTTGTGGTCGTTACGTAGGCCATATTCTGAGAGTAAGCATGTGCTTCCTAGTGAAAATGAGACCTTCGATGATGCCCTCCCTCAAGGGTTCTTGGATCGGACGGCCCATCGAGGGAAAATAATCGGGTGGGCCCCACAAGTTCATGTGCTCGCTCATCGAGCTATAGGTGGGTTCGTGTCTCATTGTGGATGGAACTCGGTACTAGAAGGCATGTGGTTCGGAGTCCCGATTGCCACATGGCCGATGTACTCGGAGCAACAGCTAAATGCATTTGAACTAGTAAAAGAATTTGAAGTTGCTGTTGAGATTAGGATGGATTATCAAAGGAATTTGATGAAAAAAGTTGCAAATTTTACGGTAACAGCTGATGAGGTGGAAAATGGTGTGAGGAAATTGATGAGTTTGAATGAGTCAATGAAGGGTAGAATACATGAGATGAGGAACAAAAGTAGGAAGGTTTTAGAATGTGGTGGATCTTCTCATACTTGGTTGACTCGATTTATTGGAGAAGTTTTAGAAAGTGTAGCCATCAATTAAGAAAAAAAATACAGTTAAATAGTAGACTATTAAGTAGTAGTTGAGTTTTGTACTAGTCTTAAATAATTTACGTTTTTTTTTTTTTTTTTTTTTTTTCCTACGGATAAATCTAGTCTAAAACTATAGCACTATTATTTTAATGTATCACTTTTTTGCTAGAGGAGAATAATCTAATATGTTAACTTATAGAATGTGTCCCATTTGTGATTTGTCAACTACAATTTTTTAGGAGACTTTGAACTTTTACTCTTAAAAGCTAACCATGATTTATATATAGAGAAATAAAAATGTTATCTCATTTTTTTTTTAAAAAAAAAAGAAAAAAAAGTACTTAAACTATAGTATGATCAGTGTGTATATACGTAGATACTCCCTATAACTATGATATTAATCAATTGTAAACCACTGCAATAGTAAAACAATATGGCACACTAAATAATGCATTTATAATTTTATATATATAAATATATTAGCCCTGCTTTCAAAGAATCTTGTACTGTGGCCTAGCTAAGCCATGACCAAATCATGACCCAAATTAATATATATTTTAATCCAAGTATTAATCGTATTATATATTTAGCACTAACATATAATTAACCTCATACTTCTACCACCACATACTTTCGTTATTGCTTGCTAGCTTAGGAAATAGCAATACTCATCAAAGAATTCCGAAAACATGTCAGAAACTAATCTTATTGTTATGGTTCCAAACCCAGCAATGGGCCATTTACCCTCAACCGTGGAGCTAGCCAAGCTCCTTGTCGAACAAGACCAACGCATTTCAATCCTACTCGTAATCCTCCATTCCCCAATCTTTAGCTCCTCGAAGGCCATCGATGCTTATATAGAGTCTCAATCCCGTGAAACTGACACGAACCAAATCACCTTTGTTACTCTCCCACCTTTCTCTACACCTGATCATACTTCTCCTAACTTCTTCAGCACCATCATCGAGACAAAAAAGCCTCTTGTCAAGAAGGCGATCGAGGATCAAGGTACAAAACCCTCCGCCTTTGTCCTCGATATGTTATATGTCTCGATGATGGATGTTGCTAATGAACTTGATGTCCCTTCTTATTTTTACTTCACCTCTGGGGCTAACCTCTTAAGCCTACAATTTTATGTTCAATCTCTTTATGATGATGAGGGGGTTGATGTGATTTTCAATGAGTTTGCTGATCCCGATACCGAGTTTAAGAACCGAGTTCCGGTCAAAGTGTTGCCTTGGTTTGGTGTTGTCGATAAAGAAAGTGAATGGCTTAAATTGATTCTTAATATGCCTTGAATTAGTCGAATGTTTAGAAAATCTAAGGGTATTCTCGTCAATACATTTATGGATCTTGAATCGCATGTGATTCGAGTTTTGCTTGATCAGGGTAAGACTAAAATTCCTCCCATTTATCCTGTGGGGCCCATTCTATCTCTCGACGGAAAGAGCCAGCAGGGAGATCAAGATCAAGACTCAATCATGGCGTGGCTAGATGAGCAGCCTTTATCCTCGGTCGTGTTTCTATGCTTCGGGAGCATGGGAGGCTTCGAGGCAGACCAGGTTCGAGAGATAGCCAACGGATTAGATCAATCTGGGTATCGATTCTTATGGTCCCTACCACGGTCGGCTCCAAAGGGCGACCTAGGGAGTTCAATCGAAAATGACAACCTTAACGAGGTCTTGCCTAAAGGCTTCGTGGACCGAACGGCCCATAGAGGAAAAATAGTTAAGTGGGTTTCAAAAGTTCAAATCTTGGCCCATAAAGCTATCGGAGGATTTGTGACACATTGTGGGTGGAACTCGATTTTAGAAAGTGTATGGTTTGGTGTCCCAATGGCTACGTGGCCGTTGTACTCAGAGCAACAGTTGAATGCTTTCGAATTGGTGAAGGAGTTAGGATTGGCCGTAGAGATTAGTATAGATTATCGGCTAAATTTCGGGATAGGTAAGGGAAATTATTTGGTGACGGCTGAGGAGGTAGAAAATGGTGTGAAAAGGGTAATGAATATCGATGATGAAATAAGGGGAAAAGTGCGAGATATTAGAAATCTAAGTAGGAAGGCTCTGAAAGTTGGTGGATCTTCTAATCACAATTTGGGTCGCTTTATTGAAGAGGTCTTGCATATTTAGTACAATAGTAGAGTTTGTTAGATCTTCAGGATGGAGTCATTAAATAAAATTAATTGGTTGACCATATGTAGACTAGAGTACATCACTCTAAAAGACTAAAATCATTTCTACGATCTGTTCTTATGTGATGTAGTTTGACAATTATATGTATTATCGCTTTTGTGATTTATACATCAGAATAATAATTGTTGCAATAAAACACTGTCATAATAACTATTTTTATTATAATTCATTGTTTTTATTTGTTGAGAATAAAATATATTGATACATTTTTAAATTTATTTATTGGCAAACGCTGTAAATGAAATGACTTAAATGAAATGTAATTGCAGAAGAAGTATTTTACTTACTCCAATACTTTATTTATTTGTCCTATTGTTTTTTCCACAATTGTTGTACACTATATATGTAATTAAATTATCCTAAAATACATATTACAAAAAATTATATATAAAAAAAAAACATACTTAACTTGCAATATTTGGGATTAATTGAACTAAATTTTCCTGAGTAGAAATAAAATGAACAGAATGGTCTGAGTCAGAGTTTGATAGTCCCTTCAATAATATCTAGCTTCTTACTCTAAATTCTAATAAAAAAATTGAAGTTAAAGAAGGACAACATAAAAACAATGAACTATTTTCTTTGGTCTATAAATATTACAAATTAGGATGCACATAATTGGTTACGAACACCAGCATGCATACAAACTGAATATAGAACAATATTCTCAAAATAAGGGACACCAGCATGATATTTTATCAAACTTTTTGCTAATATTATCTAAATTAAAAATACGAAAAAAATATACTTCGTATGATAAAAATTATTTAAATAAAAAAAACTTAGTCTGAAAATATTTTAATTTTAAAAAACTCAATTTGCAATAAACTACCTACAATCCTACATAATTTAACACTTTTCTCCTCCTTTTTTTGATTTTTTTTTTTTTAAAAAAAAAAAAAAAAATTCCTATATTCCCATTTCGCCCTCTGCTGGGATCACTACACATAGCCAAATACTAGTATACTACCACGTTAATGAAATTAACAATCACACCACTAGACAATTTCTTAATACTCTTTTAATTCATATCCAATATATATAAATATAATGCTTATCTTTTTGTCTCTTTTGGTTTCGATCATCACCTTCTCAACTCCCCTCACTCGCTCTTCCAATTCAACAACACCACCTCATTACATTCATTCTTCTTCATTTTCTATTTCTAAAATTCAGCTACAAAAGCACTTGCTACCCTCACATTGTCTCTCCTACATCATTTTATTTACTGTATTTTTTTTTATAAAGTTGAGGTGGCATGTTAAAAGGCAAAATAGGTCGTGTCATACTATGCACGAAAAGGCATGGGTCCGTGTCTAAGTGCCCACCCCAACCCTAAAAAAAATAAAAAATAGACACGATTTTTTTGACGTGATCAAGATGTATTGTCGCGTGTCTAACACATGTTAGTGTCAAACATCGCGTCTGACACATACACGCCAGTTAGAAAAAGTGTCCATATCATGTATTATCAATTTAATTTGTAAATTCTACTACTATATAATTATAATATTAATGATTAAAGTTATGCATTTTATTGAAGTTACAATTGTTTTTCATTACAATAGTGATCACAACGATAAACTAAAATTATGGTGTACAAGTAAAAAACATTCCTACCGACTAATTGGTAGACATGTACCAACAATCTTAATGGCAAAGTGGAACATCTTCACTTACAATAACTATACCATAAATTATTATATAGCATTGTCGAATTTGTAATCTCAACCAATTTTTTTCTTTGTTTTCATGTGAAATTTAGTCAGCTTCGAGTCCCACATAAATGGCAATTTCTATCACATTCACATGTGTCCTTTTACTATGAGTCTAAATCAAAAATTATTTGGCACGCAAAACGATGTATAATTTTACACAATTAACGTGATTTGCTTTGGATTTTATTAGTTAACGTTTTTGTTGACAAGTTAATCCATTACCAAATCATGAACCATATTAATAATTTAATATACTACTGTAGTATATATACAATTATACATATATATACCTTAATTCAGAGTACTTCTCAATTTCTCATCAAAAAGAAAATTCCCAAAAAAAAATGTCAGAAACGAAGCTAATAGTAATGGTTCCAACCCCAGCAATGGGCCATTTACCCTCAAGCGTTGAGTTCGCGAAGCTTCTTGTCCAACGAGACCAACGCATTTCAATCCTACTCGTAATCCTCCACTCCCCAATCTTTAACACCTCGAAAGCTATCGATGCTTATGTAGAGTCTCAATCCCTTGAAACCGACCCAAATCGAATCACTTTCTTAACATTTCCACCTGTTGCGGTGCCTAATAATGATCCTCTCTCCTCCAACTTCTTCAGCACTGTCATCGAGCTTCAAAAGCAGCTTGTCAAGAAGGCGGTCGAGGATCAAGGTATGAAACCGACTGCGTTTGTCATCGATATGATGTATGTCTCGATGATGGATGTTGCTAGGGAACTTGATGTTCCTTTTTAGGTTTACTTCACCTCTGGGGCTAATCTCTTAAGCGTGTTCTTACATGCTCAATCTCTTTATGATGATGAGGGGGTTGATATTATTTTCACCGGGTTTGTTGATTCGAATGCGGAGATAGATGTACCCGAGTTCAAGAACCGAGTTCCGGTTAAAGCGTTACCTTGGTTTGGTTCTGTCGATAAAGATAGTGAGAGTCATAAATTAGTTATTGATATGCCTAGGATGTTTAGACAGTCGAAGGGTATTCTCATCAATACATTTATGGAGCTTGAATCGTATGTGATTCGAGTTTTGATCGATCAGAGTAAGAGCAAGAGCAAGGTCCCTTCCATTTATCCTGTGGGGCCTATTCTATCACTCGATGGAAGGAGCCAACACGAAGTTCAGGATCAAGACTTGATCATGGAGTGGCTAGATGAGCAACCTTTATCCTCGGTCGTGTTTCTATGCTTCGGAAGCATGGGAGGGTTCGATGTAGACCAGGTAACGGAGATAGCCAACGGCCTAGATCGATCCGGGTTTCGATTCTTGTGGTCCTTACCACAATCGGCTCCAAAGGTTAATCTAGGGAGTTCGATGGAAAATTACAACCTTTTCGAGGCCTTACCTGAAGGCTTCGTGGACCGAATGGCCCATCGAGGAAAAATAATTAAATGGGCCCCACAAGTCCAAATCTTGGCTCATAGAGCCATCGGAGGTTTCGTGACACACTGTGGATGGAACTCGATATTAGAAAGCCTATGGTTCGGGGTCCCAATGGCTACATGGCCGATGTGCGCGGATCAACAATTGAATGCGTTTGAGTTGGTGAAGGAGTTAGGATTGGGTGTGGAGTTTAGCATAAATTATCGGCTGAATTTTATGATAGGAAAGGGAAATTATTTAGTGACTGCTGAGGAGGTAGAAAATGGTGTGAAAAGGCTAATGAATATGGATGAAGAAATTAGAGATAAATTGCGAGAGATTAGTGATTTAAGTAGAAAGGCTTTGAAAGATGGTGGATCATCTAATTATGAGTTGATTCGTTTTATTGAAGACTTCTTGCATAATTAGTAGTAAATCCTATTAGAAGTTATTCTGTATGTATATGGTCAAGCAAACAATTTTATGTACTTTTTATGTACGTTTATTAGTGATTAGTGAAGAGAAAACATATTTCAATAACTTGAAGTGACAGGAGTGCTAATTCAAGTAACTAAGTCATATTAAGCAAAGTCAACAATATGCTGATGTTGGCTACTCCCCAATGTGGCTTCTTTTGGATGATGTATGTACCCTTGCTAAATCTTTTCCTGCTTTTATTAAAATTTCACGGATACTTAGAGTAGGAAATACGGTTGCTCATCTTGTTTCAAGGTGAGACACCCATATGTTCGGGCCTAGTTTGTAATAACTCTTTCCCGCAAAAACTCCTAGACTTGACGGAGTTTGTTTTGAAATAAAATATCTGCTAACGTTTTCCCTTAAAAAGGGTTGGGTCTTCCAATTTAAGTTTAAGTTATGCTATATTATTGTGTACAGTATATGAAAAACAAATATTGAATTAAGTCACTTTTAGGTCGGAATGGGTTGGGTCCGGTCTGAAATATATACTACTCCCTTTGTGTCTCTTCGAGTGTTATACTATTCAAATGTGGCCGTATTTTTTAAAGTGTTACAATTTATTTATTTTTTGGTAAAAAGTTACATTTTAATACTATATATATCTCTCTTCTCGTATTCCTTACCCAAGCCCACAACTACTACCTCTGTTTATTATTATGTACAACTTAGGGATAGTATTTGTAACATATAAAAAACTACAAATTTACACATAATTATTATTAACAGAGGTTGTATATTTTTTATTATTTATTTTTTCTCACATCCATAACTTCTAAATAAATTAAAAAACCCCACTATATTACTTTCATAATCCTTTAACATGGTGTATGTGACAGTATAGATAAAAAAAACAAGGGCCTTTGTGTGGGGCAGTACAGAGGAGAAAAAGAAGATGCATCTGGTATCATGGTCTGAAATGACAAAGTCGAAAAGAGATGGAGGGCTGGGTCTAAGATCAATGCGCCAGTCGAATGCTGCATTCATGGCAAAACTGGGGTGGAGAGTGTTAGCCGAACCAAACTCTCTTTGGGCTAGAGTGTTAAGGTACAAGTATTGCGAAGGTCGATGCGACATTGATATGTTTAAGAGCAAAGGTGATGCTTCGAACTCTTGGAAAGGAATTGTCGAGCACATTGATGTTTTGAAGAAGGGTGTAAGCTCAACAGTTGGAAATGGTAGGGAAACTTCATTTTGGCACCATAAGTGGGCTACAAAACGACCCTTGATTGAAGAAATTATTGAGGATCCTCCTGTTGAGATTTTGAATTATCGAGTGCAAGACATGTGGGATCCCAATAGAGGCTGGAAACTCGAGGTGTTCGCTGAATACTTATCTCGAGATGCATTAGAAAGGATTCAATCCCACGAATTGCTGGAGGACGAAGATGCTGTTGATAGGGTATACTGGAACGGGTCACCAACGAGAGGTTTTACTCTCAAGTCGGCTATGGCGATTGTAAGACACAAAGAAAACAGAGAGACATAATGTAATAACCCTTGGAAAATCATATGGCGAATTCAGGCTCCACAAAGGATGAGATTGTTCTTTTGGTTGGTGTATAGGGAACGTCTTATGACGAATGCAGCTAGATTCTTGAGGCACTTGACTTCGGATCCCAGATGTCGAGTATGTGGCTATGTTGAAGAAAATGTTGAGCACATTCTCAAATCGTGCCCAGCAGCAATTGTAGTGTGGAAGAAACTTGGCATCAAGGTGGAAGACCTGGAATTCGAGAAACCCTTGAGAGAGTGGGTGATCAAGAATCTGACTTGTAGGGGTTGCTATGATATGGAGGACTGGAATCTAATCTTCGTAGTCACTTGTTGGTGGTTATGGAAATGGAGAAATGCTAGGAGCTTTGATAGGGAGGTGGAGATTCCAATTGATCAAGCTTGCTTTGTCCTTGCTCGGGTAAAAGATATCAAATGGGCATTTGAGATGGCTGGTCGAGACAGACCTTTGAAGAGGAATAGGGAAGAGATTTATATTAAATGGGAATTTCCTCAAGATGGGTGGGTTTGTCTCAACACGGATGGTGCTAGTAAAGGCAATCCAGGTGAGGCTGGAGCTGGTGGAATAGTGCGAAGTTGTACTGGGGAAGTCCACGAGTTGTTTGCGATTAGGTGTGGAATATGCACTTGTACAAAGGCTGAATTGATGGCAGTAATGCGAGGGCTGGCAATTGCGTGGAGTGCTGGGCATAGGAGAGTCCAAGTGCGTGTAGACTCGGAAGTAGTCGTTCGTATGTTAGAGGAACTTATTCCCTCTAACTCCCCCTATATTCATATCCTTCGAAAGTGTAAGACCCTAATTGCGAGGCAAGGCTGGGAAATCACTATCTCACATTGTTACAGGGAAGCCAATAGAGTAGCGGATTGGTTAGCTAACTATGGTGTGACCTTGGAGCAACCTATGATCATTTTTGAGGCGGTCCCGGAGGATCTTCGAGTCGTTTTATTGGAGGATCTAAGGGGAGTAGCTATGCCGAGGAGGGTAGCTAGGAAGGATTAGTTTGTTTTGTTTTGTTTTTGTTTTTTGGTTTCTTGCTTGTGCTTTTTAGTTCTAGTTTTTCTCCTTTCTTTTGGGGCTTGCCCCTCATGTTCAACAAAAAAAAAAAAAATTAATTCTTTAACATGGTTGCTAATCGTGACACGAAAAGAGTACTCCGTATTAGACTTAAACAAGCATATTTTGAACTTCTCCAAAGTCCAAATATTTTTTTTATTCCTAATTGGGCCCAATCTGCTGAACCCATGAAGACATTAAAAAAAGCACAAACATTAACCCAGACACAACAAATCGAATTTATCCCACAAATTCAAACTCCTACACGACGTCGTCGCCTACTTCCATCCCCAATTGAAAACCCTAAACCCTGCAATTCAGAGGAAGTTAGGTTTCTGGGTTTGAGCTCGAAGTTTTCAGCCATGTCTAGTAGAGAAGACGACGATTCCGATGCTCCCGAAGAAGTCACTGCTCAACAGGTATCTTTCTCTCTCCTATCAATTTCTGATAAAAATCTTATGATTATGTAATTTATAGAAATTAATTTTTTATTTTTTGAATGATTTGATTATGCAGGGAATTGAACAAGATGAAGAGATTAGAAAAGCTCTTCGATTGAGTAAATCCAGGTTTTTTCTCGCTATTTCTCTCTCCTCCCTTCAATTTTTGCTTAATTTCGCTTGTTGTCAATTGCACAATGATGAATGATTATCTTTTTTTTTTTTTGGGTGATATTATATGGTTGGGAATTTGGGATGTTGGTTTTGATATGATATTGATATCAATCTGATGTTTTTGTGATTTGTATATTTTATCCTTGGGTTTTGACGAGGTTGCCAACTAAGTAGCTTCGTATGTGAGTATCAATTGTGTTTAAAGTTTGGTTTTTAATGATGAGCTTGTCAATCGAAGTTTTCGTGTTATTGTAAACCGTCTTTGGAGGTGGTATTGGTAGCTATGTATTGAGTGTAGACTGTGGTTTGATGCTCTAGTGTTTTATGAGCCGTTCAATCAAAGTTTCGTGTTTTTGAGTCCGATTTAGGAGGTGTTAATGCAGGCTATGTATTGAATATCAACTATGGTTTGGTGCTCTAGTGTTTTATGAACTTGTCGAATGATGTTTCCTATTCTTTGAAACCGATTCAGGAAATGTTAATGGCTTAATGCTTGCTATGTATGGATTATGGATTATCAACTGTGATTTGGCGCTCTAGTGTTTTTTATGTCTTAAGTTATATAAATCATAATTGCAAATTTTTGGAAACAGAGATAGAATGTCTTTTATTAAGAATCTGGATTGATCATCATTTTACTATTCTTGTCGGTTTCTGTAAATTGCTTGTTGAAGTCTTGACATTTAGTTAGTGTTGGATTTTGGATCAAACTTGTAGATGATGATTCTGATTTTTGTAGTGCACACCATTGCCTTGGGGTTTTCATATCACTTATTGGATGTAAAGTGGAGAAACTGGAGATTGTTACTCTTTGTGTTTGGCAAAATTTATGCATTTTGCCCTGTGTCTGGCCTGTACTTTTTTCATATTTGTGGTTTGAATTTGTCTCTCATTAGGGCTCGTCGTGAAGGGAAAGAACGTCGGAAGAAATTGGCTGAAAGGCTAACTCCACGACAAAAGAAAGTTGAAGCATCTGATGATGACGTTGAAATGGTTGAAGATGAAGATGAACCTGTTACAAGTAAGCAATCCCAAGTAAACACAGGGATGCTTCCAGATGACATTGTCAACTTGCTTGCTGCTCGTGAGAAGTATGTTCTTCAATCATCCTCATCATTTTTTGCAAATGCTTTAATTTATTCCATGGTTTCTTAAATTTTCCCTTTAGGTGTTGTCTAATTGGGCATTGATTACTGGTGTAATTCGCAGGCAAGTATTTTTATCAGATTCCGAGGAGGAGAAAGAGGAGAAAAAACTAAAACCAAAGAAGAAACGAAGCAAACAATCAGGGTACGATGCTTCTAATTTTTGTAAAGTCCGTCCATATTGGCAAAACTTGAGAACATTTCATAGGGAGTGACAAGCCTGCCTGACTTTTGAATTCATTTTAAATGCTTATGGATTTGGTTGACTCCATTCATCTCTCAATGTGTACTACAATCTTATGACTTTTTGTTGTGATCGATCTTTCAGGGTAGAGACTGTAATTCTGAAGGAGCTACAACCTTCACTTTGTGTGCAGAAATCCTTGGAGTTCTTAGAGAAAAGGAAAAATCAAGTTCCTAGGTCTGCTGCGGTCTTGACCAATTCAAAGCAAGCTTTGCGTCTCCTCTCTTCCTCTGGATTGCTGAAGTAAACTCATGTATCTCTGATTTTTGTTGTTGCTCTATAGGCTCATAGCCAGTAAGTGAGAGGTGAACAATTGAAGATGGTTGTAGTTCTTTCCAGTCTTTTTATTACAATTGATTGATTACCTCTCGAGTTTTGATTGAGATGTGAGTCAAGAGATGAAAGGCTTGCTCTTGAAAAGTCTTATTAGCATTAAATTTTCTCCATGTTAATATGTAATACTATCCTTCATATTTGATTCTACATTTCTACATCAATGCCAAATGCATTTTTAGATTGATCTGAATTTTTTTTTTATACAACCATTTTCTGATAATCTGAATCTAATAGACTTCTTAAGGCGCCTCACATAAACAAAACATATCATGGTAAACGACGTGCAAGTTTAGTCCAAGATCTCCAGAAGACGAGACTGTCATCTGGAATCAAGCTAATGAGTTCCAGTAGACAGGCTGCTGAAGTTACAGCACCTTGTGAAACTAATTGTGTATATTTCGCAAGTTTTCAGATTATCTTTTGCTATTGAATGATGCTAGTTTGCATGTTCATCAAACTTCTCAACAATCCTAAAAAGGGTAAAGGGATTTAAACCCAGATTTGGATATTTGTTAAGAGGGCTAAATTTGTCTTTCCACTTGCTAAAGAGGCCAAGATTGGCTGCTACTTGGTGACAGCCGACTCATTGTCTTTTAGAGAAAGTGACACCATCAAGAATTCAAGATTGTTTAAAACAAGTAACATTTCTGTTGCCAATACATGTTAACATGTAATAATATAGATTAAAAAGAAATAGTACATCAAAAGTAGCAAGTTTTGCTCTATTTCCTGCCAAAAGGAAATATGGGTAGAAAATTCACTATGATGAATTACACAATAGTAACTATGTACAAATTATCAGAACTACTCTGAACAATTGAATACAGAATTCCTGAAAGTTAACACCAACAGGTGCAGCTGAATACGAAAATCAGGGACAAGTAAAGTTATCTCCAAGGTCAACCCACATCTGATCCTGAGTCATGGATGCAGGTGTAGTTGAACCATTCAAGCTGAGCAAGGAATGCAAGGTGTTCTTCAACTTGTTCACACATTTTCGACGTTGGATTCGAGCAAGAATGACATCTCTGTCTAATGGTTTCGGCGATCTGAGGTGAAGCTGGGTTGATACAGGTAGTTTCTTTTCAGCTTCATTAGCCTCATCCCTCTCTTCATAAAACTTCAAGTTTTGAGTTTCTGATTCCATCAAAGGCTGCTCCTTAACAGACATCCTAAACCTCTAGCTTTGTTTGTATATTTTTCAGAGCTTTAATATTGAAGATGAGATAAAATCATACAATGTTTTTAAGGGTTTTTAAGATATTTTGTTGAAGAGAAATGTATAATGTTATATATAGTAAAGTATGTAATAACAAGGTGCCTGTGGTTTTGTCTGCAACCGTGGGTGAGAGGTTATAAAAATCTGGGGGTATTTAATGTTTGTTTAAAGATTTTGAGGCGGTTTTAGAAAGTGAAAGGTAGCTGGTTTTGCAAAAAATGAGGAAGCAAGGTGTACCATCAATCACTTGCCACAACGCCAATCTCACTTCATCTTTTGTCAAACTTTATCCAAATAATGAGAAGATGATTTGCAATTGGTGAATTGGATAAGCATGTATTTTTCCTTGTTTGGTGTGGGTTAAAATTTATGTAAATATATATTTTTTTTAATTGTATAATGTAATTGTAAATAAAATTAAAAAATTAGTTATTTTAAAATACAATTAAAAATTAGTTATTTTAAAATACATATTGAATTTCAATGCAGTGTTTGTAAATTCGGTCAATATTCGATTATTATCAATTATTTTAATTAAGAGAGATATAATGACAAATAAGATAGACGAGATTTGATTGCAGGTTTTGAGTACCATTCTTAAGACTTTAACCTAGTAACTTAGTAAGGTAGTTGATCATTCTCAACATTAACATCATTATGAAACAAAAATATTTTTTTTTACTCTTGACTCTTTATCTTTTTCCCATTAATACTTGCACCTCTATGAATTGTGATACTTCGTAATGGTATTGGGACAAGGGGTGAGAAGGGTTCAATCCCCACCCTAATCCCCAAACAATCCTTATCGAACAAGAGATTTATTTCGTTTTGGGATTATTTATCCTTACAATTTTTATTGTTGGTATAAGCAATTTAAGTCCTACAAGAATAAGGAATAGAAGTCTTCCTTATATCTAAACAAAAAAATAAAAAAAAATTCTTGTAAGTGATAGGAGTCCATAGGACACTCTATTAGTATGAGACATTTTAAAAAGGTGCTTGAAAACAAATTTGTGTGAGCTAGACTTAAAGCGGACTATAATACTAAAGCATAGTGAAACTAGTTGATCAAGGCTCAACACTTATACTACTCCCTCCGTGTTTTTGTAAGTGTTAACACTTCCTATTTCCGAACGTGTTTTTTTTAAGTGTTACACTTCTTTTTTTGGCAAAAAGCTACATTAAAATATTATATCTCTCTCCTCTCATGGTCCCCACCTAAACCCACTATTACTTTTTTATTTTATTTTTCTCTCACATTTATTAATTTTCAATAAACTATTAACTCTACTATCTTTCTTTTATAATTTTTTAATACTCCAACTACCTCACTTTCCTCTTATTTTATTTAAGTCAATTAAATTGCCTAAAACTATATGCCGGTCAAAGTGTAACACTTAAAAAAAACACGGAGGGAGTAGCATTTTTTTATTTTTATTTTATGTTTTCTTACAATTGCCAAAAAAAAAAAAAAAAAAAACAATCACCCAACTCAATATTCACTTACTCGACATTAAATTGGATCACATATTTTTTTCTCCTAATATGAAATATGATACTCCATTCACTTCATATTGTTTTTGTCATCTAGAATTTTACTGCGATAGGAAATTGATCTAGGATGGGATGAACAATAGGGAGTAGAACAAATGTTACTATTTTATAGAGTAATTGTTATTGAATATGAATCAATGTATATTTTCAATATATCAACATTTTATACTCCACTCTTGTAATAAATAAATAATTATTCATACTCCGTATTATAGTTTATTATTTTATTTTTCTTAAAACACATTAGTAAGTTCTTTTCTTCACATAAATATTGCCATGATGTACCATGCCTAATAATTTTGAAATTATGGTACTAGAAGTCTAGAATCAAGGATCGTTTGCTGTTTGCACTTTGCAGTTAAACAACTTGGGACAAATCATTCTGAAATCTGAATTCGCACAAACATAAGCCTCTGCAATAAAATTTGAGGAAAATTGAATAAGACTGGACTAGTTACTGAAAAGAGAAATTTGTATAAAAATGTTAAAAGGGTCAATATCCCTCTATATTATTTGCATTTTTGATATTTGTAATGAGCTAATTCATTTACATGCTTCTCAAGGGAACAAAACTGATGTACGTACATCGTACAAAGTATCCTTCAAGCACTGTACAAGTAGGACTAAAACTAGTAAGACCTGAACCCCTGCACTATCTCCAAATGAAACTGTACAAGTTTATCAATCATTTAGAGTTGTTAGTGCTATCAAGGAAACTCAATAAAAAACCACTTACAATCCTTCTTGCGACAGGATTTGGTATACAGCGACACAATCGTCCATCAATATAAGCCACCAAAGCTGATAAGACAAACTTCCCAATTCCCCATCTCCAAATAAACTTCCCCTTGGGTTCCTTAGAGGTGGAAATGTCACCAGTAGATGATTCACTCTCTTTGCGACTAACCCATTTTCTCTTCAACTTAAGTTTTCCCATGGCTTGGTCTGTTTGCTTTCTCAGCATTCGGATGGCAAAACTCACAAACAGATGCTCACACAGAGTCAGAACAGTTGGCCCGATTTTCCATTCCTGCATTAACATAATATTATTTTCGTTCAAACATTGTTATATAATAAAGTTATTGTACGGAGTACTTTAAGAAGTTCCAGGAACCAATTTTGTAAAACATTTATATCAAGAATGAGTTGAGGTTTTGCACATACTCTGCTTCTCCCAACATAATCGGAAAAAAAAAATTAATAACAATAAAAAATAAATATATAAATAAATAAATAAAAAATAAAAAATCTTGAGTTAAGAGTTAATACAAAGTTGCACATGAACTGCAACTGTCCCCAGGGAAAGGCAAAATTTAAGGAATCAAGGATTTCTTGGAGAAATAGGAAAACTTAATACCATAATCAGGTTTCATAAGTCAATTATCATTCAACTTTTGCATCTTTCTAAATAAGAAAACTCAAGTTAAGAGTCAAGAGTTACAGTGACACTTACATTCTCTCCTCGAAGGTGCCTTAGAGGGCGGGACCTGGTTGAAAAGTTTCCCTTTAACAAGGACTTACTAGCAAGGAAGTCCTTCACCCTTTCCATGATCTCATCAATTAGTGAACTGTTTGGGGGTAGATTTTTAAGAATAACCTGCCAAGAATAATGCATAGATCTCAAAATGCTATATCACCAGAAGTAACATTTAGCTGAACCAAATAACCTGCAACAGCTAAATATCCTGAACTAAACTTATGAACTGTATAGGGATAGTTAAGTCCAGTTAATATTTTTAACTGATACACAATGAACTGGACATATCATACATCCATTTGTTCTATTTGCATTTTCAAGCTAAAATCACTGGGAGTGGGACTACAGAAATGACAACCAACATATAACCCAGCATGCACTCCACGAAAGGGGTGTACACCGGTCCAGATCCGGACCAGACCGGACCTGGCCTGTCTAGTCAAATACTTCAGGATCATTGATATAAATATATATTTCACTGAACTCAAGTATCCAGTGAGTTCACTAAAGCAATTCAAGATACATAGACTTTGTATATAGCACCTAGCTAATACTAGTATATACTTCCCCTCAGTTGTTCCTCTCATATTATGATAAGCTGTCAAAATCCTTTCAACTATATGCCACCATATACAACTAAACATAAGTACCTGATCATCGATGACTCTAACCCTCAAATAGTCCTGCTTATATATTGTATCCAACATAGCCTGCAGATATCCTTCAACATATAACTGCATAACAAGAGCTAATGTCAGTGGCCTATGGAAGAAACAAGCTTTGATTTAGGAAAAATAGCACGGTCTTCATGTCCATTCCAATGCAAGCAGAACTAGAATTTAAACAAGATTCTAGATCCTCTTACACCTCATTTGATACTCTCTTGATACATGGTTTGGTATGGATTATGGTACAGTGGGTCACATTTACACTATAACAGGCCTGATAAAGAGGCTAAGGATTATTTTTGTCATCAAAATTCTGCAGACTGAGATTTACCTCATCGATCCCAGGACTTCTATCAAGCTTGATTCTTCTATCAGGGCCTCCTTCCAAGAACGCTGTTCCCAATAACGATGGTTCCATAGCTAATCTCAGTATTCCATGATGAAAACCTGTCACCTATGTAAGATGAGGAAACAAGTCAGGTAATATAAGTTGGTTCTATATATCTTAGCCAAATAAAGGATGAATCAAAGTGGCAACTGCAGTATGCAAAAGCTTAGGCTAAATACCATGCCATTAAAACCACTGCTTTCTGCACCCTTGAGTACAGAGTCTGATACTTCAGTCACTGCAGCAAAAAGTATATTGGATCCTGCATTTCTCAACTGCAAAACACTGTATGATGAGAAACTGCACAGGTCATTGTGAAAGGTGGTAGACAGAAGACTTACAGTTTTGCTAAGATCACCAAAATACCGCTTTGTTCCGTAAAAACCTTTATCTTCAATGCACTTTTTGATTAACTTAAACGTCCCTGCTCAAAAACTAATTAATCAGCAAAATATCATTGGGAGGAGCTGGGGGGATATAAAGTTCATAATTCCTACCCTAGAAGAAAATGTCAAATTCAGAGTAGTACTCCATCACTCAATAAATATTATACTCATGTTTTTTTACACTTTTTTTTAGTTTACTAATGAGTTTACACAGAATTTTTGGGTTAAATCATCAACATGCCCATAATTTACATCCCTCCAGTCCCATCTTAAACTCTTTTATCAGAAAAGACTGAAGTATAAAGTTAGGCTTCTTAATAAGTTAACCAAAATCACATGTAAAGTTATATGGAATATACAGGATGGAAGGAGTCCACACACACACACACACACGTGCCTTCTATTGAAATAAGTAAAATATAGCAAGGGGAAAATTCAGTGAAAAGACTCACAAGAGGAATGCCTTAGACTTGCAATTATGATTAGTTTGGCTTCATAAAAATAAAAAAAGGAAAACAGTACGTTGATTTAGATATCTTAGAGGAATGATTCAAGGCAAAAGGATAGATAAAGACATTGATCATTTTTACTATTGCATGAGCATATTTACGGTTTTGGATGACAATAATATCATTTAAACTAAAGGAAAATACAATTTCGGTCAACATACTAATTTATTCCAAGGATTTTGTATTTTTATTTTTATTTTTGAAAGCATTTACTCCAAGGATTTAGAGTGTGAGTCAATAAGGTAAAGTTCAGATGTAAGGCTTGTTTTGTGAATCAAATAGGAAACAGGGAACAAAATACAGTGAAAGTCATTAGAGATGAATGTGACCATTATATATAGCCCAATGTCAAAAGGAGGCAACCAGAAACTCGAGAGAAAGAATGTAAGATAAATTTGAGGGGGGATGAGTTTTAAAGAAGTAGATAACACCTACCCCCCCCCCCCCAAAAAAAAACCTTTTTAATATATTCACTTAAGGTTAGTGTGTATCCTGTTCATCTAATGCTTAGTATGTGTGCGCTGAATAATGATTGGTCCATTACATAAGAACCTAGTTAGTACCAATATACCATGTAATGGTCTCAGCAAGAGTAGCAGTGCATCTACAAGTCAAAAAATTGAAGACTGGAAGAAGGTTGGCTATAATATCTTACCTACAGTGAGGCCTCGAACATTAAACAAGTTACTGGAAGGATCAAAGAATACATCCAGAGAGGAGGATGCCAAATCATCAAAGACTGATGCGAAAGCTGGTGGGAGCAGTGGGCTTCCCTTTGCAATATAGATAGCCCGCATGCCATACCTAAAAGCCATCATTTTATACAAGAGTAAGCAACTAATAAGGAGAAGAGATGCAGAAGAAGGATGCAGCAAAACAGGCACACTTACCATGAATAATGTTGTGCACATCTTAAGAGTAGCTCACGAGTTGTAACTAAAGCATGAGTAACAAAGATACCATTGAGTTCTACCTCAAGATTCTTAATGGCCGGGATCTATTTAGATCACAAAATTAGTTGATGATCATGAAAGATTAAGATAATAAATGAACAAAGTACAATAAAACAACCAATAAGCTCGTGATGAAAGCACACTCATTTACCTTGATGACACTATGCAGCAGAGACCTCAGTGCCTCTTGTCCTGAGCTGTAATTTGAATATGAATCCTCTGGGAGAAAGCTTGTCGTGATCTCAACAACATAGAATAAGTAAGTTCCAGATCCAAATAGAAGCTATAATTAAGACCATTTATTCGGAAAGGCCAAGAGACCCTACTGACCTTAATTGGGTGGATCTCAAAATGATCAAAGTAATACTGTTGACTTTGAGTATTTGAGCTGAGAGATGTTCTCCAAAATGGAACAACTTTCATTAATGTCTCCTCGTCAAGATTTAAATCAATTGGCTGTTATTAAAGGAATAATTAGATCTATACTCATCAGATTGCAATATTGCATGCATAGATAAATAAAATATAAGCATAAGTATAATAAGGTCTACTACATGCTAACGACATTAAAGCAATAACAGAGTAGCAAGCAAAACAAAGTGCCTATCCTTACCTGCAGAATAATAGACGAGTATTTGACATCTCGAATACTTGAGGTAGTAGGAAATAAGACAAAGGCAATAAAGAGAACAGGGTCATCAGTGACATTGTTGGATGTCAGATGTCTTCTGAGCATGGCCGCAAATGGAGCCCCAACCCATTTTTCATCTAAATGCATTGACTGCAACAAACAGATGATAAAAATTATGTAAAACATCACTGAAAAATATAAAAGCAATCCGCAATTCATCTTTCACATACTAAAGAGTCCTAGGAGGTCAGGAATCAGCAGTTAAGGGAAAAATTGAAAGAATAAGCTATCAAGTACAGCAACATCAAAGAAGGGAGAAAATATGAACTAACCTGTACCCTTATCTGATTGTATTTCCGTTGATCAATGATGATGGAATCAATACTAATGTTCTCTAGTCTCCCGATAATTATTGGTGTGTAATTTGATAGATCATAAGGATCCACATCCTCCAGTTGGTCCTAAAATTGAATTGAAATATATATTGCAGAGATAATGAATTAGAAATTGGTATCAATCTATTAAAGAACCATCCAATAGTGCATAATTTTTGTGAGCAAACTAATATATCCACTACAAGTTACAAAATTAACCAGGGACATAATTATGTGATAGCATATAGTATGTCCACAGTTCTACAGATCACACAAGATGACAAGACACACTGGGACTTCCATAAAAGACATTTGATAAAATGGTCTTTATATCTTTGTTTTGAGAGACCTCGCGATCATCAGCAAATTGAAATTTTTTACTTGTATTAAAAAGTATCAGCAAAGAGGATGGCAATGTCAAAAAGTTAAAAAGTGTAGATAACTATATCCTCACCTTATGAAATACTATATCTCAGCACTAAGCATCAAAAACAAGATATTACATGAACCATGTTGCATTCTTTGACTCACCTCCTTGCAGGGTTCAAGTAAGTGTATGGCAAAATAAGAGATTCTCAACTGAATCTTCTTGCAAGACTGATACTTATTATCAGCTTTGCGTCTGCCAGGTGAGTGGGAAATTCGCAGAACACGAGTAGGACCATCAACATAAACTTCATAACCCACGTTGCCCACATCAGTACCATCCATCTGAGCAGGATTTGTTCTCCTTCTGTCAGAACTTCTGGTATCTCCAGTTAGATGAGACACCAGATCACTCTGCCTCTGAGCCCGAAAAAAGGATTTCCATGAGCGCAGTTTATCTAAGCTGATTTCACGTATCATATGAGTACCTAAGAAACCACAGGGAGCCAAGAAATAACATAAAATTTAAAATAATCTAATGCGACATTTTTAACTAAATTTCAGGGGCAGAACTTTTTACTCAAAAAATTAAGAAGTAAAAGGAATGCTTCTCATATAGTACAAATAAGTTATAGCACACCAGGAAGCTATCTTATTATTTAGCAAGAGGTTCAAAATTTGCTCTGCCCCCTCCAACACTTATGCTCAAGTTCTACCATTGCCAGTTATATAATTCCAATCAAGAGGGGTGGAAATTACCATTAACTTTGACCATGAGCTTGTGTGGTCGAGTCAAGTCATCCCAGACATAACTTACACAGGCCCCAGAAGCAAGAGTTTCTGGCTGAAATGTATCCTGGAAACTGACATCAATTAGAGGAGTGCACATAAGAGGTAAATGACACAAGTTTCTTTGCAAATTGTTGCACTATATACTATTTAAACTAGGTGGGAAAAAACCTTCTGATAATAAGTAATAGAAGCATCATGAAGGTTATTTTCAATTCGATAGGGCAAACCAGTATCTGGTGGTCTATAGAAATGCAAAACAAAGGTGGGACCCTCCTCAACCACATGAACAGCTGCATACTCCCAAGTAATGCCATCTTCATTTGGGACAAGATCCAACTGATGCACAGACGATGCAGCATGTCCTCTGAATTTTAGGAAAAAACATCCAAGTGAAGCCACACAAACTGGACCTGACCATCCCCACACAGCTTCATTTGGACTAAACTGCACAAAAACTGATGTGTCGTCGTCTGAAACCTTGTGCTTTTGCAGAAGCTTGTTGAAAAAGGAGATATCCTGCTTATCACGGGATTTAACCGTGAAGAAAAAAGCTGTTTTCTGCTTACTGTTGATACTTAATGTCTCCCCAAAGTCATCCTTCAATCAAAGTAAAATGAAATCAGTGATAAAAAGTTTCACCCCATAATGGAATTAGAAATTTTATATTAGAAAATCTGCAAATTAATCAAGAGTAAACCTCTAAGAAACATTGTCGGACAAAAATCTGATCATCTGATTCATTGGATATTATATATCTAGGAACAACAGAGACCATTCGTGCCGGTACATCTAATGTACTCTTTAATGGCCCCAAAGAGATCCCCAACTTGACCAAATATTTGATCCCAGATCCTTGAAGCTTGGTAAATCTTATCTCTGCAAAGCCTGAAAGGGCATCCAAATCCAAGATTGACTTGGACAATTCTTCATTCAATAATTCCATACACAGCTTACTTGATCTGACAAGCAGAAATACATACATGAGTTCTTTTTTCTCATTATCCAAAAATTCTCTTTGAGAAGAGCGAGGGATAGAGAAAATAGACTTATCAATGATCAGGAAATTATTACTTCATGAACCAAGATCTGGGTGATTTTGGAGGCAAAAGAGTCCCAAATTGAGGAGGAGTTGTAATCGCATGCCTTTCAGCATCATCCCTGCATACAGTAAGAAATAACTTTTTCAAGTTTTACAGGAAGGGAGAACAAATGCACAATAGAATTACAACAGCTTAGTAGCATTTATATCATAGTTAAGATATAGTGAGCACCTAGATAATGGTTTCAGATGTGGCGCAGCACAGAACAGAAGAAAATCAGTGTCATTTCTCAATGTGTACTGTGTAAAGACAATGGCCTGCATCACAAACATTTTTCATCTGTTTATCTGACCACAAATTGAGATAAAGTAATACTTATTCAGCTAAACATTTATTCTACAACTTATATTCAGATTCTAACACCTGCAACAAAGTTCTTGTAGCATCATTACCTCAAGCACGCCCCTATTCCCACGAGCCAATCTTAAACAAGCAAAGAAAGTTCCACCACAAAATTCCAGATCAATGTCTAGAAATTGAATACCATCATTCTTCTTATTCAACTTTTTGAGCCATTGACTGCAGTTCACAGGCTTACAGCTACAGCTAAACATAGCTAATGTAATGTTGAAGAATATAACAGCAGGATTGGCAAACAGATTAGCAGTAGACCGGGATTGAATAGTTGCCCGGTTAATGTTCTTTAATCCATCGATTGCAGTTTCTGCACAGGGGATAATGGGATTAGGAAACATACATACAAAACACATTCACTCAATAAATAACTGTACCTGTCTCAGTTAGAAGTACATCAATCTCTGTCTCAAGTAAATTAGATACGGTCACTGTTGGAAGAAGAAAAATCTCCTTTTGCTCCTGCAAAGCAATTGATGATGTCTTACTTTGACGACGACCATTAGGCTGCATAATAGGTACATTTCTGGCAATTCTCTGAACCAGGAAATGCATTTGAGCCAAATGAGTATCTCGAGATCTCACTAAACAGCTAGCAATGCTAAAGGAATACTTCCAAGATTCAGCAGAGAAAGCTTTTCGAACTTGGTAACTTAATTTATCAATGACGCCTGATAGACGAACGGCCTTTTCTCCTTTAAGGTTTTCAGACCATTCAGCTGTATAAGATTTCCATAACCCGTTTTCCTCCTTCATCTCGGGTCGAAATGAAAAGACAAAGTTACCTGCATATCACAAATGAATGTTGTAAATATTGTTACCAAAGAATGACAGCCCAAACACAGGATATAACTTGGGTCCAATTTTTTGACGGAGGTATGAACATAGGGATTGGAGATTCATCATTATTTCACATACATTACTCAAAGTATAATGGCACCATTAACACGTTTTTCAATAAATAAAATGATTTCCAGAGAACACTGCCATCTAAATCCTTGTAAATGTTTCAGTGCCTGGCCATATCCCTCGCCCGAAACCAGAGCTTAAAGAAAATTCTATTACATTGGCAAGTATTTTGAAACAGTAGATGATATAACAAAGTATTACATGTGTCACAATTGTAAATATCAACATTTTTAGCACCTTAATACTAAGCAGTTCTCATGTGTACTTTCTTCCAGGCTCTGAGACTGAAAAAATAGTAACAAATATTTTCTTTCCTTTTTCACCCTTAAGTATCCTGAAACTTGAGTTTCTCACAGAGCACATCAAACCTCCTGCTCTTACTGCAGCCATGATCTCCAGTTTCTATGCATTAGTATTTATTTGGAAGACAATATCCAATATTCCAATCGTGTGATCAATGAGATAAATTTAATTCTTACTGACATCAACAAGAAAATGTGATGCAATAAATCAAATACTCATCAAAACTTAAACTAGTAAAAAAAAAAAAATTAATTTAAAAAAAAAAAAAAAACAAGAAGAAGGTGCCACAATGCCAATATCATTACTCATACAAGATAAGACTTTTAACATTTTCCAACTCAATCAAGGCAGGCAATTCTACCGTCAAAACAAAGTGATCAAGTCTCTCTATTACAAGGAGTGCGCTACACCGCTACATGTCTCCATTAGGAACTAGCATTTAAAATGACATGCAGGTATCTTTGACAAAGCTATAAACTGCATCTTGACGACCTAATGCAAATACTTCAATGTCAGACATATGCCCAAAGTACTATTCTGGTTCACAAAATATCATTAAGTTCTACTTTGGTTCCAATGGCATCCTTTAAAGTTTACACAAATCTCTCCAGAATTGCTAGTGTGTATCTGTGTATGATAATGGAAAGGGAAACCGTAAAGTACATGCACAGTAGAAAGTAAAAGGGAGGACCCACTTTATCATTTCTCGTGTTAGGAAAAAAAATAACTGAAAGAAACGAGCTGGTTGCAACAATTTCTGTGCACATTACAGCATTCAAGTTAAAAGCCTCGCAAAATTTCTGGCACACCAAGAAGCTTATCAAGAACGAATGAAAGACAAAGCAAAGCAGCCAAAAAAAAAAAAAAAAAAAAAAAAAAAAAGAAGATGAAAAAGGGGGGAGGATACACATTTGCTCAGTAGGAATCGTGGAACCATTGTCATTTAATTCACTCCTATGAGATTCTGTATAGGTTGCAACTCACTACCTAATTTGGGATAAAATTTTATAATCCACTACTAGTGTACCAAAAAGAAACTGCAAAAGCCAATCGTGTTGTTTGTGAAAAACTTTGTTTAAAAGAATATGCACTAAAGTAGAGTAAATTTGAGACAACCAAGAAATTCAGTTACAAGAACAAAGGAAAACCTGTCAATTTTTTTTTTTTAAAAAAAAAAAAAATAACAGACAATTTGTCAATTACTCCCTCTGTCCCCTTTTGTTTGCCCCATATGACTCATAAAGCTCTCACATAAAGTGGGCCCATGCCCCATGGTGCAAAGAAAGGGGGACAGAGGGAGTACTATCTAATATTCTAGTCTCTTTATAAATTACTACCTTCTATTTTTGCGGATTACTACCTAATGATCTAAATCGCGTTTACTATTACTAAGTGTACTTTCCAGTGACTTTAACCTACAAATGACCATAATAGATGTTATGCATTAAGAGATATTAAATTTAATTTCCATTTTTTTATTTTTAATTAAATATCTTTGCTATCTATTATAAGCTCTAAATGTGTTGACATCTATTATGACATCATTTGTATGCGTATGCTAAATTCACCAGAAAGTACACTTAGGTAGCAATATTAAATATGATAAAGTCCATTAAGATAATAATTCGCAAAAACACAATTTAAAGGTAGTAATTTATGAGGCAAGTTTGCTAGGTAGTAATTGACACATTATTCAAGGACATAATATATCAAATTTAGGACTAGTAAGAGGAAACTAAGACGTAGGAAATGCATACCAACACCCAAAGACAACAGTGCCTTCTTTGGCCCACCAGATAAACTAATAGCATCAAATGCTGCCATGCAATCATCAATAGTGTCCCCCTCTTTGAGCACCACCGATGCAGATTCAGCTTCCATTGATTCAGGCCTTTGGATGCGCAACTCCACTGGAAATCCAGTATTGTTATGAATTCTTAGTAAAGGGGACACATTAAGTGATAGACCTTCCTGCAAATGGCCAACGCAGTCATATACACGATGAATTACATAAATGGATATATGATTGCATTTGCAACCTCTATTTACATTACTGAGTCAATACAATCTTATACCTCAGCATTCTTCGAAACATCAAAAACAATGAACGGCCCCGGACAGGTTCGTGAATCTGTGCAGATCAAAGGCAAGCATATTAAAAAATTATGAGCTATACTAACATAACAAAAGGAAATAATTCTGCTGGAATCATGATCGTTCATGATTGCACTATAGAAGTTAGTAGACTTATGTAAACGACAATATCATATGTTTATAGGTTTATCCATAGTTCCATCCTGATCAAAGCATGCCCCTTTATCATAATACTTTTCCAATGGATAGATCTTGGGTCCACAATAGTGTCTTATGCTAACTTAAATATGTACTAGAAAAGCCAAAAAGTGTGATGTTCTGAACATAACTGTTGGTTTTAAAGTTCTAATATTTTATAGGTAGTTAGGTCATTAGCCTGTTTGTTCTCTCATGTTCAGAGGGAGAGAATGAGAAGTGTATCGCTCCAAGTTGTGGCTAAGTTTGACAATAGTCATAACACTGAATTTGTCTAGTTGGGAAAACACTTCTCTTGTGAATAAGAGTCGGGAAATGCTCTGTTTTACACAAAGGTAAAACAATTTCATTTGCTATTCGACCACCAAATCAACAAGATGATGAGTGTAAATTTATTCCACATTTGAGCCTATAAAAGAAATAAAAAAAAGTGTCTATTGCCACTTCATATCTATCTATCCCCACACCATCTTAATTCAATCAAGCCATAAAATTGTAACTATATGAAAGTGGATTAGAAAATGGTAGTGTTGGAATTGACACTCCTGTAAAAGAAGTGTGTTTCTGTTTGACTCATTTAAGTGAAGCGGCTAGGACTCAGGCAACCTTATGCATGAAGCAATTATCACATTAGCATAACAGGTCATAACTACTAGTTAAAGTCAAACAATTTACCTTGTGATGTAATACGTGTTCTCCAAGCAAAAATCTGAGTTCCGGAAAGAGGTACATGAACTGAAGTAGTTGAAGATATTCCAGGATTTTCAAGCAAAATTGTTGCATAGGATGACTCGGGAGGCTCCTCTAGGTGCCTTTAATGAAAATGAAATTTGTAAATTCATTGGCAAGACAATGCAATTTTTTTTTACATAATAAGGAAAATAATTATACACTAATAGAGGCAGAAATTTTTGACGTTGAACGAAGCCTAGTATCACTTTCTTGCAGGAACAGACTAGCAGAATAAATCAGCAAATTCAGTCATGGATCAGAATTATTCAAGTAGGGTCACCAAAAACTAACCATGATAACTCTTTTAATTTATGCACAGGTAGAAAAGTATAAGTACAGACAAAACAGGAGGACGACAAAGACCAATGAGAGTACAAAATGGATATCGAGTTAAAGAACATCAGAACAAACAAGATGCTGCACTGAAGATAGTCTGAGATGTGGAGGATGGGGCTTGAGGAAGGTGGACTAGACACTAGAGCCTAGAGGAAACGACACATACTGCCAGACAGGCTCATGGTAATATAAACTGGATTTCTCCAGAATGCATATATTCTCGAAATTTTCCTTTTAAGAATCCTTGAACAATAGAATTCAAGCTTACACAGGAAATTTCCAAAAGTTTGGACAAGAAGTCAAGAACCGTCTATACTTGCACAAAAACTTTCCTACAGACTGGAAGACTGCCCCCTCTTTGTATATTGATCCAAGGAAAAACTTTCAGTGACTTGTGACTTACTCCAAAAGCAACAACATAATATCAAAATTTTGGTAAGATGTGTATAAAATTAAATGAAATCTCCTTATTGGAAGACATTTGAGTAACAGAAATATATTCCAAAAAAAAATAAAAATATATAAATAAAAAGTAAAACAAAACCAAACAAAAAAATCAAAAAGAATATATATAATGGGGAAAGATTCAGACACGGAGGCACCTCAAGGAAATGAAAGCTGACTGTCTCCTGCCAACTCTTGCAGATTGGTTATTGTGAAAATGGAAAAGAAGGTCCAGATCCAATTGATTTTCCACCTGCAAACATTATGCAACTAATAAAAACTTATCCACGTGCACACATTCTCATTTCCACTCTGAGAACCTAAGTAGAGAAAACCTTGCAGCAGTTGACCAATATAGCAGAATTTCTAACAGCGAATGGGCCAGCCAAATCCAGTTTTCCAACCACGTACAGTAGCATGTCCAACAAAACCTCCGTTAATGATAAATCCAGCTGCAATTGCAAGAAAATTGATAAATGGGATATAAACATAATGAGCTCTAGACTGTGAGCACTCATTTCATTATTTGTATGTTCATCTTCCTAACCTCCTGCATTCTAAAATAAAGGCGAGAGAGCATCGCGTGATTTGATATTTCTGTAACATCTGAAGGGGTAGTTAATCGCCAGTAGATACACATTTCAATTGGCTGAACAAACTCTCTCCTGCAATTTGGGAAAATGTAAAAGGAAAGTGCTTGATTAAAGACTGAAGACAAAACCATAAGCTTCTTTCCCAAAGAATGTTATATTGATAAATAAATAACCCCTCACCAAATGACTCTATACACATCAAAATAGTAAAGCATGGCAGTTAATGTGCTCATCACCCTGGTTTTCTGGGGAAGTATCTGAAAAACAAGTTCAGTGCCATCTATAGACCCTTGAAGAAGAGGTAATTTGTCCCTGGGATCTGACAGTTCATGCACAATGATTAAGGAGATTTTCTCAATTGTCAAACTTATGCAAGGTGCCATTCCGGCTTCTTCAGAAATATCTTGACCATCCAATAATGCAAGGCCGTGTGCTTCATGTGGACAGGTTTCAGTCATCCTCAGATCAGGAACCACAGGAAGGCCATTAAAAATTTTGAACTTGAATGGATTTCCAGGCTTTTTCACAAACTCTATAGCACCATGAACAAAAGCAGCACCACAATCATTCTTCTTGTTAACAAGATAGAATGTATTTTTGCACATGTGATTTAAAGGTTCTAGGTCAGCATCATCCTCATAATTCTCATGCTTACAAGGAGCAATCTTCCAAAGTGAACATGCACTATCATCATTGCTGGAGATGTCAACAAACCCAGATGATTGTAAGTAATTTAGGCGCAAAGGAACCCCTGAATCACTCTTAGCATACAGTGACATCAATGAAAACCAAGATGTTGAAAATTTCCACATGCTTCGCTTCTGCCACTTAACCTGATTACATGTGGAGAGAAGCAGGGGGGAAAAAGGTCAAATTCGCTACATCTAAGAATCCAATATTAATCCAATTTTAAAAATTTGAAAAAATAAAAAAAAATAAAACAGGGTTTCATATTTTGTCCACATTCTAGTCTCCAGTATGGCCCTCTATTACTCATTTATAAGAAAACAAAATTCTGCAAAATTTGAGCGCCCAGTTCCTCTTCAGCCATTTCTTTTGCGTACTCTTCACAAGTCAAACCATCATTTTTGAGAAACTCCAAGAAGAATGAAGCCAAATACGATAATTCTCCACAAGCACTTTATATAGTTGTTTGTTTAGCTTCATGACAGAAAAAATAGTTTCTTTCTACCAGTGACACTTATGAATTACCTTTATATAGTTAGGCCACATGCAGATGATGTGCAACAGTCTCTATATATTAAGGATAGAAAAGAGTACAGTGAACGAAGTACTATATAAAATAGCCAAGTCATAGTAGCCATAATTATACCTATCTGAGATGATAAAAGAGCAGTTGCAAACTTAAAATAAGATCTTTACAGCAGCTGTGTCCTACTTGTATCAGACTTCTAAAGTGACATGATAGTCCAGCAGAAGATTCAGGAATGTTCGAATCATAAATATTGAACAAAAAATAAAACAAACCAGAATTCAATGACCCAAAGCAGTGCATAGTATTGACATTCTTACCCTGAAAAGAGCCCTTTTCCCAGCAAGAGAATAGTGAACTGCACCGCCTAATTTATATTTGTTTTCCATATTTTCAACAGTTACGTACAAATGCTGATGGACATCTTGGATCGCAACAATAGCACCTAAACATATTACAACAGCACGCTTAATCCAAACAGCCTGAAATAGCCAGCTGATTTGTTAACCATTAAACAAGAAGTGTTACCACTTGTATAGTTGGATTAATTACCATCAGGCAGTGCAGCTTCCAAATCTATTTCAGGTTCCTGGTGGCTTGCTGTCCAACTCCTTTCTTCCACATCAGTGGTAGCACCGTTTCCAGAAATCTCAGACAAGGACTCAACAGTAGTCAGAAGCATCTGTGCAGTTAATCAAGTAAATTGGCAGGCATATATACATTTATAATATAATTAATAAAAAAGCCAATAACATCCAACAAGGAAGCCCAAACATAAATTATAGCAAATTACTCGTTACAATCAAACTTCACAATGAAACTGGCAAAAAGATATGGATCTCACCTGTATCTCAGAGAGAGAAATCGTCAGATTTAAACCTGTAACATAACCTTTGCCAATCCATCCTTGAGTTGAACAATTTGGACCACTGTTATCCCCTGAGATAGGTTTCTCAGCTGATATAGAAGTAGCCAATCGCTCCAAGATATGATTTCCATATGTTTCACTTGATTGGATAACTTGAGATGCAGAGTCATTAGCAATAGAGCTTTTCATAGAAGCAAGTGCACTTGAGAAACTTGCGTCTTTGGACAACAAAGATGTCTCCTCCCCATCTGGAACCAACACAGTAGAATCTTCATGATTGAACCATGATGAATCACGGCTTAGTCCAACAGAAGAAAAATGTGGCATTTGAATGTTTTTTACTGATTTCCCCACGCCCTCATCAAGGATCAGAGAAAGGATATCCAAATGAGAAATATTAAACAAGAACTTCTTCTTTAGATTCTCTGACCATAGTTTCAAGTTCAAATCAACTCGTCCTATGAATTCCTTGACCACTCCTGGATGAAAACATCAAAAATCACTGCATAAATTTCTGAATTATAACACTTTTATACCCCCACCCCCCATCCCAAAAATAAAAATAAAAAAAGCACAAGGAGAAGGGAAACAAGACTATATAGGAATAAATAACATACTAGTTTCATCAGTCACTAGAAGTACAAGTGATAATTGTGACACCTTAATACTATATGCTTTCAAGAGTTCCAGCTTGACAAAAGAACTTCTTGTTTGAGCAGAGTCCTCAATATGCTCTTCAGCCAAATCATTTGAGCCCCCTTCAGCTGTCCCCGAGGATTTTCTTTGCAGGTAATGCTTAATAAGCTTCCTAATAAATTGAAGATATGAAGTTACACAGCGCGCAAACCCCGCCAAAACCTTAGTTTCAATGAAGATATGACCACCCTGTTAAAAACTCTTAATGTCATTCCCATCAGAAATTCTAAATTAAAGCACAAAATAAATTAAAGACAATTGCAACAAAACTGATGAAAGAAATTTCAAAGCAATTTCATACTTTATTTCAGACAATGGAAAAAACAACTAGGCAGAAAGCCAGAAGCTGATGAAAAAACAGGGAATGGGTATCTTTAGAAACATCTACATTGATTCAAGGTTATCTAGGTTGTGGTTGCTGAAATCTGCAAAGCTTCTGCATCAACATATCAAGGACGGATAAAACAAATAATATTACTCTCTAGTTTGGAGCCATCCTCGCACATAAAGAGTCATATGACTGTCCAAACCAAAATTCCCAACCATCACATGACATTTAGAGTATTACTAAAATTGTATTGTACTTTTTGTTACTATGTTTGGCCAGTTTGATAATGGTTATGTACATTAAAGAATTTGATGGTGATGTGTAGCAGCCTAGCAGGAGATAAGCAACCCCTTTAAACATAGAAAATGATTTTTCCAGATCTATTATTCTGAAATAGAAGAATGTACAACAAACAAGGCACTCAGCACTAACACTATGACACTATGTTTGGATAGCAATAGTGAAGGAGGGAAGTGGAATCCATTTCCAATATGTCCATATTAGAATACAATAATAAAATAAAGACAAATCACATAAGTTCACAATTTACTATTAGAGAAGTCAGAGAATATATATTTGGTATTAATTAGAAATTTAGAATTAGATTATGGGGGCATCTATGATCCTGAAATATAGTCAAGGGATCAAGCTATATAACCAGTATGGGATCTATAGGTGGAAAATTTGGGTTTAATGCTAACGTTCTTGCAATACACCATCCCCCCACCCCCCTCTTCTCATTCATAAAAAAACACATAAATCAAGAAGCTAATATCTTAATTAAATATTTTTAAAGCCACTCAATGCTGCCTCTGAGTGTGAAACTCACTAGTTAAAAAGAAGAGGCTCAGTTCTGCTTAGAATATGACAAAACCCTTAATACAAATCTCCTAACAGGAAAAAAAAGAGGAGTGTGCTCCTCACTTGTGAATTTATGAAAGTAGTACCAAATAAAGTAGGAGAATAGGAAAATTAGGGCAACGGCTTTAGAAAGACCCATTTGAATGGTTTAAAATAAGTATAAATCTAAAGCATCGTTGAACTAGAATACTAGATAGGCGAGCCATTACACTCATCATATTTCAAAAAAGCATACATCAAATAAGATGAGGAAAAAATATGTTTATTGCAATTACAAGATTCAGACCTGGATTCCAAAGACAATACTCTGAAAGTCTCCTCCAACAGATAGTGATAAATACAGCTTATCCTCCGGGTGAGCCCTAAAAATTCCATTCTTAATTGAGCATGCCGCAATGAAAACCTTTTCTACAGTGATGTTTATTACCAGCATATAACTTGGCATTGAAGCTGATACATTAGACTCAGAACCTTCATCGTGAATTTGCTTCGAATCCAAATTATCAATATTCAAAAGAGAACTAAGTACGCCTTTGGGATTGCTAGTAGATGCTTCACTACCAGCTTCTCTCCGTACTCCTGAACCATTCACAGATTCCAACAACAGATTAAATGTACAACTAGAAAGGGAAACTTCATGCATGCAATCAGCAGAATGTATAACTGCGTTCTTGACTTCAGATTTATTACTATTGTCAGCTTTTCCAGTCTGACTTTTGTAACTAAACATAATAGCTTGTAATTCATGGAAACTTGCATTTGCCTTAGCCTTGGCTTCCCCAACAGAGGCTTCCAGACATGTCTTCTGAATGGAAAGCCAAATTCCACAATCAGACAAGTCTGCCAAGCCCAGGTTTTGAATACTGTTAGCATCAATGAGCATTGAAATGTGTCTTCTGTCAATTCCATTTCGGCAGTTATGAAGGATAATATCAAATGGGAAAAGTTCAAAACTGGCTTTAATAAAACAGTAAACACTTTCAAAGGTCGAAGCTGCCTCCTTGTTATCTCCGATCTGCATTCGCTCACTTATAAGTTCTGTCGGCGGAGATTGATTTTCAAACATTAACAAATTATTTTGGACTGCATGCAAACCAGAGCAACCAAGGGAGGATGTTGATTCTGCAGAAAATAACCTTTCAACAACCTGCCAAAATTTGGGAAAATCTCTACAGATCCATAATCCAGAAATTAGATACAGGAAACAAACTTAAAAATTTCCACTTTAGTGTCCATGTGAATAGAATACAAAACACATATCAAGAAGTGAACAATACTAAATTACTACGTCCATAATTATCTCATCAAAGCCAAACCTGTGGTAAAAGAAGTCTACATAGATAAAGAGAATTATAAGTTTATAACACTATCATACCGAATTGACCACTAAGGCTCTAAAACATATCTATAACCAGGCAGTAAATAAAGGGCTTACCTGCAAAATCACAGAGAGCTCATCCATATATAGAGAACCAGTCACTCCCGACATGGCACCATGTAAGGACAACGAAGATGCAATATTAGATTTCGCAAATGAGTACAGATGATCCCTGAAAAATATATGCATCATACATTAGAATAACAGGAGAAAAAAGAAAAAAAAAAGAAGAGGAAAAAAAAAAAAGAAAGCACAAAAACATTATATGAAAAAGTGAGACAATCATACAGCAGAGGAGGGGAGGGGGCAGATGAAGTTACCAAGGATGTAGAAATTTAGTAAGCTAATTTACCTTCAATTTAAAAGCAACTATGCATCCAAACTCAGGTATAACAGCATTATGTTCTTAAGACTAATTAAGATCAAAATAATTATTAATGTCAACTGTGAACATGCAGAAATAGGCAAATAGCTAAGAAAAGCCAAAAAAAAAAAAAAAAAATTAACCTCCACCAGTGTAAACTGAAACACAATGGTTAATGAAATGGGTCAGAGAACATCTACATTATAACTTTCCTTCTGACAAAAATTAAATAAGTTCATTAAACTGTTAGAATTAAATTGCAACAAGAGGACAAGGTGACCTCATAAAGAAGCATTTAACATAGTACAACTATTACTAATATAGAATTCCCTACGTTGATTTTTGTTCTTCCCAAGTGAAATCTTAGCACTATTCATAAGTTGAGAGAATCTTCTAAATGTTTTCAATATATAAAACATAATATAGTCATTTTTGGACTTATTTGATTCGTCTCAATGAATAGTTTATTAATATTCAATTGTTATATGTTTTACTAATATGCAACTATAGTTATTTATGGTCAAAGTAATGCATTAGCAAACGTGTACATTATATGTTTTACTAATATGCAACTATAGTTATTTATGGTCAAAGTAATGTATTAGCAAACGTGTACAGTCAAAATGGAAAGAACACTTAGGATCGGAAGGAGTAGTTGCTAATTAGCCAGGTTCTCTTGTAAATCCATATTGTACAGCTTTGGAAAGCCACAACCACCTTAGTCCATAAATATGCTACCAAAGTTACTTCATCCCACCACAAGTCATGGGGAGCAGCAATACCATCAAAGATGTGGCCATTCCTCTCAAACAAATACTCCCTAGAATAGGCATCACAGCATTTCTCCAAAGCAACTTCTTCTCCCCACCAAACCTTTCAAACCCAATCTGAAGCAGATCTTTTATCTTCGAAGGACATACCCAAGCCTGCATAAATAGTCTTCTCCAAATATGACAAGCAGAATCACAGAAAAGGAAATGCACTCATCCTTAGTTCCTTAATCTTCACCAGGAGGCATGAGAAAATGAATTCTTAACAGATTTCAGATTGATGACTCTTAACATGAAATAGTCTGAAAATCCCATCCTTAAAAAAAATAAAAAAATAAAAAAACTACTCCAAGAATTAACAAATAATCATCATTAACAAACTCTTCTATCAAAATTCTAAAATTATTACTATTCAAAACCCACATCATGTGAATTTCATAAAGTCATTATAATGGCTTTATGCCCACAACACCAGACTACAGCTAATAACGGTCATATGACAGTAGAAAGATTAGCATAGCAAGTACGAAGTATAAAAAATCAATCCAAATTGTTGATGAAAGAAAATAGTATTGATACGCTCGTTAACTTGCAGGAAATTACATTCTTTTCTTCTGAATACACAGAACATTGAGTAACAACATCCTAGAGGGAGTACTTAGAAGCACGAAAGAAGAAATACTAACTACAAAATCTATCATGTAATCTGCTTATCTCATCAAACCTTTCAATGTTCCCTCACAGTTTCATTTAAAGAAACCCTTCAAACCTGTATTGTTATATCAGGAAGCTACTTTTATTTCTTAGGACTGTTAGGAATTAGGATGTGTAAAAATACAATATTTGACAAGCAACATCCAAGACACAGACTTCAAATTCTAGTTTAGACGAAAGGAAAGTGACCCTTTCTTCAGCAAATAGTGACAGCATATGCTGCTTAAATATAATAGTATCATCCAGAGATAAGAAATTTACGCAGGTTAAGGCATGGAAAAATTGAAAGAATAGCAGAGATGAAAAAACCCAACCTCAATGATGATAATTTAACAGTCAGCGGCTTCAATACTAGGACTTGCATCTGATGATTATCCATCAAATCCTCAAAGTATAAACTCAAACCACCGAGTCTTAACAATGAGAAGTGTGTAATCTGTCCTTTTGAAGCATACTTAATGTTGAATGACCCAGAAAACCCCTCTAGCACATGTTCCTCCAACTTTAAGAATTCTGATTCAAAGTTATCTGGTCTTTGATGTTCTTCACTTGGTACAACCCCAGACTTTACAGTTGGCCAAATAGAAAATTCAATTTTGTGGACATCTATTGTTAGATTAACCCCTTTTCCAACATGTGTAGCATTTGGCTGTGAATCACTACTTGAAAGATCCTCATCTCTCATAGATAACTGGAAACGAGGACCAGCAATGACAGCGCTCACTTCTAGATGTTTGTCAGGAAGCAATTTCAGGATACCCGCATTCATTGCCTTTAAACTGTATTTCAACCCCCCAAAACATTGATTTTCCTGTGATTCCTCAGAAATCCTCAAGGAATGCAATGGAATCACAACACTCTCAAAACCATCATCTTGATGGAGAGCATGCTGCAACTGCTTTCTAAGTATATCAAATGATAATATTGATGCATATCCTAATGTGATATTTAGCTTTCCGGCCATCAAATTACATTTCGAGAACCCAGAATCTGGGCTTTTGCCTGGATACACCAAAAATGTGTGAATGGTGCAAAAGGCCCATGGATTTTTGTCATAGTCACCCTTGCATTCTTCAAAAATTAACTGCATTCTTTTCCAAATCAGCTCCATCTCCCCCGACATTTGCTCCAGAATAGGAATATCTTCGTGACCAGTCTTCCCTTCTTCTGAATGGCAACATGTTAGAGCAGGTTCTCCCCTAACAATGGTTTCTGAACCATCGAGTCTCTCTTTCAATTGCCCTCTAAAAATACCACCGGCATTTTTTGGCTTAGTTTTGTTTTCTGATTCATGGAAAACAGATGTAGAAGTAACCTCAAGAAATCCCAGAGTGAAGGAAATATTTTGCTCAGAAATGCTCTCTTCATAAATAAAGAGAAATCTTTTTATCAACAAAATGAACGGAGATGCCTCAGTGTAAGAAGTTACTTTCCTCAATTTTGAATTTTGATGAGCAGGAGGATAGCTAGGCTCTTCAAAAGAAACCATAGCCAATATCTTCCCAAGGCTGAGATGGAAGCAATACCTTGGATCAGCAACTTCAGATGTCATACTAAGTTGACCGGTTTTGGGTAATTTCTTATGCAGACGAAAAACAGACACGGTGATTCCAAGTATTTTCACCATTGAGTCCCATATGAAAGCCAGTGGCAAGATGATAATCCAGAAGCTATTGTGACGGCCACTCATACATGCCACAACAGTATCTTCAGCATGAGAATCTTTTAAGGCTGCTCTAAAACGAGCAACTCGCCTTGCACTTGCTATGGCCTCAGCTGGAAGTTCCTTCTCAATTATTTGTGATATTATTTTCCATTGTTGCTCAGCTAGCCGGGGAAAGCTACCTCCATTTGGCATCTGCACCCCATGTTCAGAGTATCCAACTAATAACAGAAAATAGAGATATTCCTTGACAAGGCGTAGCCAAAGTACTGCAATTAGAACCACACTATAAAATATACATCCAGGAGGTGGCAAAGAATGACGAAATTTCCACCTGGCTATACCCCAGAGAAGTCTTCCACTTCTAACATGTTTACATTCTATGGTAAGCAAGTTGTTAAATGCACACATCATTTGAAGTTGGGTCGGAGAAAATGAAAGGTTCAATTCTGGAACAGAAAGAAGAGAGTTTACAAGACAAAGATCTTTCATTCCAATGCCAAAATAAGGATTTACACAAGAGAGGATACAACTACTATGATCTTTCTTCTCAGCTCCTATTTCCAGCTTAGAGGCTTCTAGAATAATAGAAGTCTCCCTCAATGGTAAAAAAAATAAACTAATAAACCCACCCAAAAGACACCCCAGATCCTTATGTGAAGATTGTGCATTAAGATCACTTGAATAGCATAACCATGAAAATGTGTCATCTGAAACAGGATATTCAACTCGAATTAGTGCATCATGAAGATGTAAACAGCAATGCATCAATAATAGATTTGTTATGGAGTCCTTAAGCTTGCTTTTTGAAGTAGCAGTCATCATCACGTTCTCAATATTGTCATGCAACGTGCTCCCCTGCGATTTGCCTTGGATTAGCCCAGAAAAAAGATGTAGAACTCCAACTCCATACCAATTGAGGACAAAAGAAAAAGAATATCTAATAATTCAACTACTAACACTAAGAGGCAAAATATAATAAACAGTGTACCATGCTCTAAAGTCTTAAATTAACATGGTACATTTGGCTCTTTAAGAGTCAAAACATTTATACTTGTATATAGATAGCACAAGTGGATGAGGATATGAGACCCACAAGGCCACAACTACAAGAAAATATATTATGGACAACTCAAGTGTGAGGTGGAGTGCTAAGATTTAAGGTGTGCATACCCGAGTTATCCTATATGGAAAGTAACGAGGGAACATAACCAACTTGCAAGTCACTAAATCCAGGGACTAAGGGCCTGTTCTGATTTACTGAAAGGAGCTAAGCTAAGCTGAAATGAATTGTTTATGAGAGAAGGAAATTTGGAACCAAACTAAACTGAACTGATTGGAGCTGAAGAGAACAAGCCCTAAATCCTCCTATGGCTCTATGATTAAACAATAAACCTAAGCCCATTTCCAATATTCATGTAAAATTGACAATGCTGATATTCAATCACAGTCTAAACAACCAATCACTTAAACAAATCATGGCCAAGAATACAATAGCCACACAGAATTAATATCATAACTTCCCACATTCTTGAACTTTTTTGAACACTTAACTAGCTTAACTTACTGATCATTAATTCAATTGTACTATCAATGCACTAATACTCTCCCAATTTCAATACTAATGCAACAACTAAAACCTCTTGAAAACTTTTGCTTAACCTTAAACAACAGTTACTATAAAATGGATGGAACAGGTTTTATGCTAATTAAATAACGTTCACTTATCGATTCGATACATTAACCAAACCAACGAAATTCGTCTCAAGAAAAGCACAACAATAATAAAACATCCGTCGCAACATCAAGCTAACCAAATGTGAAAATCTAAATACAGAAGTTTAAAAACTTACAGTATGATCAATTTCAGCAAGAATCTTCTTCTTCCTCTCCTTTAGATAATCATCAACAGATTGTTCCACTCTTTTAATAACTCGTTTCCTTCATTAATCAAAACAACACCAAAATTCATCAATCAAAAAAAAAAACTTCGACAAATTTATCAATCATAAACAAGAAATTGAGGAGAGAGAAAGTACGTACTGGAGAAAAAGAGTGACATTAACACCACTAACTTCGACAGTGAAAGCAGGAGCAGACCAATGCGCAACACGAATGATAACCTCATCAACCGTTACACTTCTAAACAACAAGCTGAACTCTCCACCACCACCTTCAATTAGATCATTAATGGCGGAAACGTCGAATTTGAGATTCTTCGCAACAATTACAGAGCGGAAGAACCCTAATTTGACTTCTAATTCTGGTTCTTGCGCAAGCCATTGTCGAAGAAGAGAGGTCAATTTTCTTTGAATTACGCCATTGAAGAACATCTTTGAGAGGAATTTGATGAAATTGGATGATTTTCGGTTGTTGAATTTAGGTTATGGTGTTGTTTCCGCCATTGAAGGTCGAAAAATTGAGCAGATGATGTCTGACAGTTCTATCTTTCTATATTTGGATGTTAGAAAAAGGAAATAATTTTGTAGTGGAAGTGTGTAGAATCCCGAGCTTCCTTGTGAGGAGCTACTTGAATCTCTTTTGCCCGACATTTTGGATTAGTACGAATTCATTTTTTCCGCTAAAAATTGATTTTGGCACGGCTTTAGGGTTTATACGGATTATAATAAGTGCAAGTACCTTATACTAAAGATTTAAAATACAATAGGTTTTTTCTTTTAATTCAAAAGAGGAACAAAGCTAAAGAAAAAGAAAAAAAAATTAGAAAACAACTAAGGTCTTGTTCTCTTAAGATTATTTTCACTTTATTTTAGTTCAGTTCAACTCAAATAAATTCAGTTCAGTTCTAATAATTTCAGTTCAGCTCTAATAAATTCAATTCAGTTCAGTTCTAATAATTTCAGTTCAGCTCTAATAAGTTCAGTTCAGTTCAACTCCAATAAGTTCAGTTCAGTTCAATTCAGCTCAATTCAGCCAATGAGAACAGGCCTCTTCTGCTACCGAGAGATAAAGCGTAGTAAAGCCACACCCTTAAAATCCTCCTCTAAAATTCTATTTAGATCTAACGGAACATCATTAAAGTAAATGTTAGATTATGTCAATAATCTTGTATATTATTAGTTTGTAATTTACTAATGTAGCCCTAACCCTAGTATACGTTGTATATATAATGATGTACAAGATTATTAACATAATCCAAAACTAATAAAATATAAAATTATTTACATAATCTAACAGTAAACTAGTTGAGAGTATTGAACAACTCCACAGTTTGCCAACCAATCCGCCGCACGATTCTCTTTTCAATAGACGTGATCCACTCTAACTTTCCAATTCGAAGCATTAAACAAATGTTTGCAATACTTAATCATGCACATTCTTGCCACAAGGAATTTCCATCCTTTATAATGCTTGCACACACGCGAGGTTATCCATCTGCACTTCTATCTTAGATCCTGTTCACATGTGCTGAACTGAGCTGAACTGATTAGAGCTGAACTGGACTGAACTGAGCTGAAATGAATAGTATATGAAAGAAGAAAATTAGGAGCTAAACTGCACTGATTGAAGTCGAACTAATTAAACTGATTGGAGCTGAGCTGGGCTGAACTGAAAATAAGCTGAAGTGAACAGGCCCTTAATGATTTGCAGATTTTTGGCTAGTTCTTGTGTAAGGCTAGATGTTTATTAAATTGATAGTTGTTTGGTTGATTTTTAAATGTGACTCATGAAACATTTTATAAAAAAGAGAAATGATCAAGTTTTACGACCATATTGTTAGTGCTTAGCAAATATAAGAATTGTGGTAATCAAGGAGGACGGAAATTAGGGAGCTAATAATTAATAGATTCCAAACATGATAGATGAGGAAAAGATCATGTTGTTATCACATAAGAAAGACACAAGTTCTCCAAAAAAAGAAGGTGTACATTAATTTAGTGTAAGATAGGTTATAGTTTTCTTAAAAGTATTTAAAGTTACCATTTATACTACAAAAGTTATTATTTATTTAACAATAAATTTTATCTTAAAAATCCTTATAATGTATTAGATTTATCATATTAACCTTTAAATTATGTAATCATGAATCTATAAGAAGTTACACAATAATACACCTTCTCACAAATTTTACATATTAAAAGGTTCAATTAAAATTTATTTTTCTAACAATACATAACAATACGAACTTTAGCATAATAATGTACTAAATTTTATGTTGTAATTGAAAAAGTAATTAATAAAAATAGCTTATTACTTGGGTAATTTAAGTCATTGTACGTTTTAATTTATGTGGTTGATCTTATTTTGAGGCTATATTAACGATAATGCGTCTTTTCTTGTATTCTAAAAATATTAAGGGTAAAAAAAAGTTATAGGTTAATTAATAATTATTTTGTTACTAACCTCTTCTCTACATTAATATAAGTGCCAATCAATTGTAATGTTTTCCGGAAAACTTTGAATAATCACGTAAGTTTTAATTGGCGCTAGTTAGCTTTTGTCATCTTCTACCCCTTACAAAGTTACGATATTTATTAACAAAACCTTAATCCTTCTGATTTTTTTTTTAACTTCTCTTGCAATTGTTCATCTATAACATAATACACCACAAGACATGTAACAAGGTGTCAACAAAAAAACATCTTATACACAAGCATCGTATGATCAAATTTTGTTACTAGTTATGATTATTTTCATATACATATAACCATCTCAATTCATATCAAGTTTTTATTTAATTAGCTAAATTTCAATTACCTTTGAAGTTTGCTTACAATGTTTGGAAGGTCAGGAAGTTTACAACCACAACCACAACTTTGTAGTGATAACAGTTTCGAGCATCATCAATATGAACATCGTTCGAGCGCTATAGATTCTACAAACTCGTCACCATCGGAGAACACCGGTTGCACCTCGCCGTGTTCAAAATCCCCATGGTCAGCCCATATGGCATTGCCCGCCTCGATGCTCGAAGGCAGTTTATCAAATAATGGTGGTTATTACAATTGTCTAATGGGGTCATTAATACGAGAAGAAGGCCACATTTATTCTCTAGCAACATCAGGGGACTTATTATATACGGGGACCGATAGTAAGAACATTCGTGTTTGGAGAAATCAAAGAGAATACTCCGGGTTTAAATCAAACAGCGGTCTTGTTAAGTCGATTGTAATATCCGAAGATAAAATATTTACCGGACATCAAGATGGGAAAATTCGAGTTTGGAAAATGTGTGCTAAAAACCCGAGTGTACATAAGAGGGTCGGGACGTTACCCACATTTAAGTCATTCATGAAAAAGTCTATTAGACCGAAAAATTATATAGAGATTGGGAGGCATCGTAACACGTTGTGGATACGACATTACGATGCAATCTCATCGCTAAGTTTGAGCGAAGATCGTAACTACTTATACTCGGCGTCATGGGACAAAACCGTGAAAGTATGGCGTACATCAAATTTTAAGTGTTTAGAGTCAATACCCGCACATGATGATGCTGTTAATGCTGTTGTTGCCGGGTTTGATGGCCTTGTTTTTACGGGGTCAGCGGATGGTACGATTAAAGTTTGGCGTCGTGAGGTACAAGGGAAAGGTACTAAACATTTCTTTTCGCAATCGTTGTTAAAGCAAGAATGTGCCGTGACAGCCTTAGCAATTGACCCAACGGCCACAATCTTGTACTGCGGCTCGTCGAATGGGAAAGTTAATTTCTGGGAGAAACAGAATTTTGCTTATCCATGTGGTACTTTAAATGGGCATAAGCTTGCGGTGTTGTGCTTAACTACTGCGGGAAGCCTGGTGTTTAGTGGATCAGCGGATATGAATATTTGTGTGTGGAAAAGGGTTAATAATGAGGATAGTAATATTGATGATCATATTTGCTTGTCGATATTGACGGGGCATAATGGTCCTGTCAAGTGCTTAGCAGTCGTGCCGAGTGGGGAAACGTCGTCGTTTGATTCAAGGTATGTTTTGTATAGCGGAAGTTTGGATAAGTCGATTAAGATTTGGAGAGTATCTGAAGAGGTACCTGATTCAGTTGTTGCCTTTACTAGGAGTAATACCAGGCAACATGGTAGTCTATCATTTGCTTTTCGATGACGATGATAATTATGAGTTTTTGATAGAGTATATAACATATTTTTAGACTTCTAATTATCAGCTGATGGTTGAAAATGATCCACTGATATGGTATTGAAGCCAAAGTGACACGAAGGTTACGGGTTTAAATCTCATTCACCCCCACTTTCAAGTGAAATGTTAAACGCTAAACTGATGGTTGAGATGGTCCATTAACAATTTTTTGAACATGTCTACTCTAAGATGTATGTATATACTTTGATTTTAACCTCTTAATTTGATGGGATTTTTCTCTCCTTTTGTAATGGTCTTTGTACTAGATTAGCATTTGGTGTATGATAAGCAGGCTTAGTATCATAATGACAAAATTTTGCGAGAGTTTTATTTTCCTTAAATACTTGATACTTCGAGAATAATATTCATTTTGAATTTCGTTAGTGCCATTGCGATATTCAATGTTACATTATTTGTTTAGTTTTATAAAAGTAGTTTATCGCACATATAACTGCAAAAAGAAAATACACATTTGTTAGCTTTAGTACTGGTATACGCAAATAATTCTTCATAATTATTAGTGAATATTTTCACTTCAAATATCTATTAATGACTTCCATTTATTACCTTTCAATTGGCTGTTATATTTTCCTCATGCATGATGAGATAAACCTAGAATGGATACTAATCCTTATGCAACAAAATGTTTGTAGACATTGTATATTTTGGCAAGAAGATAAGCTACATTGTGGATATCTTGTAAGTTATATTAAAGAATACTTGTATGAAATAGATGGTTTATTGTCATTTCCTATATGTAAACATCTATCGTATTAATTATGAATTATCTTAGGTGCATTTAATGTTATCGACATAATATTCAATGATAAATCTGAAAAGTTGATTTCGGTAAAAATTGACTATTTTTATTAAGTTGTCTTTTTATTTTGATAGTATTGTTTTTGGTTTATAGTTAAAAAAACAATCATACAGCCTCTCTATTCAATGGAATTTGTTGGAGCTTGGTGGTTGCATCTTTTATCATCTCAGTTAGTTTTCTTTCCCTTTTGTCATGCTCATATTATTATACTTTTTTTTTTTAAAAAAAAACCTAAAACTATAAATTAAATAATAATAATAATAATAATAATAATAAACATGTCATAAGCTAATTCACTCTTGTTGTGGTCTAGCATAATTGACCTAGTCTCTAATTCCTGATTCATGTTATGAGATAAGTCAATAATGGATGCCCACTCCACTTGACTTGATTAGTCCATACATGCATTCGTACAAAATCATTTGATTACCTATGTACATATGTAGAAGCAAATTATTGTAAAACGAAGTACGAAGTATTAGTTTGCTTATGACTACATATATGCTTGCAATCGACGTGAAATTTCAATTCATCAGATGTCTTTACTACGACTTCGGATAATAACAAATCTCTCTCTTTCTCTCAATATTGCTTAACAACTTATCGAATTTCCGATTTTAAATTTGTAAGTTGATCCAATCTTATTTTGGACCAACGAACATCTTAGCTTATTCAAGTATATACCACAATTCTCCTACACAATGTACTTTGGTTACAACTTACAAGGGATCCATTGGTTCAAAAAACACAATTCCATGACAAAGGCCCAACAACAATACAAGAGACAAAAATTAATTAAAATTAGCACCACTTTCAATTCACATGCTAGACACGTCATCTTCTTCCCCATCATCTTCAACCCAGCAAACCTCCAAATTTTCAAAAACAGGACAACAAACAAAAAAGTGAAGATGAAAGATTCCATCTTTTAACTACGAAAGGAACCCAATTTTATTTTCTTTTTATAAAAATAATAAAAAGAAAAAGAGGGTGAAAAAAAGAAAAAAAAATAAAAAAATAAAAAATCCCATCTTCTCTTCATCCTAGTTTCCCCAATATTCCCTCTTTTTGCTGTCCAAAAACTAAAAAAAAATGCTGTCTTTTTCATCTTTTTTGGGTTTCCCACATTTTCCCAAACACATTTTCCCTCTTCTTCACCCCCACACAACCCTACACACCATCACCAACTCCACACTTCAGACACCCTCTTTGGGTTCTTCAATCTTTGTCTTTCTTTCTCTCTCCTCTTCTAGCAGGTACTCATTTTCTCTCTCATCTTTGTTTGTTTAATTTAATGTGATTTTTATGTTAAAGTTTTAATCTTTTTGCCCTTTTCTTTGTGATTTTTTTGAGATTTATTTTGTATGTTTTTGCCCACCCTTTAATTTTCAGGTTAAGCTGTTTGTTTTTATACAGTATAGTGGTGTTACTTTTTTTGAAGTAATTGTGACGAGGGTTTGTTTCCTGGGTGATTTAATTGTGGAATTGTGAGATGGGTATGGAAGAAAGTAGAAAATTAGGGTTTAGTAAATGTAAGCTGTAAATTGAGCTTAATTTTGGAAATTGAGGGTTTGTAGATTCAGGGAAAATGTTGCCAGATATGGGTTTTAGTCCTGTTGTAGAGGATGATAGTGTGGAGGAGTATGCATTTGCCATGGAGTATAATGGCCCTCCTTTGAGCTTTGATATTCCTCGGGCGGTTCCGATTAATGTTGAGAGTATACCTCTTGCTTCTGTTGTTACTCAAATCCCGTACCCGGAGAAGATTTCGTTACCTATCATAAATCCTGTCCTTGCTCCTGATGGTCTGAACAAGAACTTTTCTAGAGAGCTTAACAAAGTAGGGTCTGGTAATACGAATGTGTCTCCAACCTCGGTGATAGATTTTGAGAGGATTACGAGTGTGTGTGAGCACAATAGAGATGTCGAATTGGCCTCAGAAGTCACCCTTTTGCCAACTTCAGTTGACGTGTTTGAAAAAAGAGAGAAGAGTGGTCAGGAATGTATAGAAATGGGTGATGTATGTAGCTCAGGCACATTAGAGGATTTGAATTGTCGTGGTGAATCTGGGGATTGGTCAGGTTTGATAAATAGCTCAGCAGAGCTGGCTTCTTCTTCGATTAGCCATGAGCATTCACGTGATTTGGTAGGTAGAGGTGGAAGTTCATGCCCATCAGAATATTGTGAGAGCTTTGAGAAATTGCGAGAACTCTCAGCAGTTTCAGAGGCCTCCATGGCTTCTGGTCCTTCACAAGATAATTTAGATCCTGATGATTTGAATGGTCGCGAATGGAGCTCAACAAAGTCAGTCTTGAGCATGGAGTATTTGTCTTCCTCACTGTCCTCTTTTAGGACCGGAGAGTGCAAAAGCATGCCTCATAATGATGTTAAAAGGCCGCCCGCTGTGACATTTCGTGACTCTGATTCATATGATGATGTTGATGAGGAGTTGGTTTATCGTGAGGTTGAAAGACTCAGGCCAAAGAAGGAAGCTCTGCCTAGATCCAAGAAGGGGGTCTGCTATCGTTGTCTTAAAGGAAACCGTTTCACTGAAAAGGAGGCTTGTATTGTCTGCAACGCAAAGTATTGTAGCAATTGTGTTCTCAAGGCCATGGGGTCGATGCCTGAAGGAAGAAAATGTGTTGCATGCATTGGATATTCCATTGATGAGTCCAAACGAGAGAATTTGGGAAAGTGCTCCAAGATACTCAAGAGACTGTTGAATGATTTGGAGATTAGGCAAATACTGAAAGCCGAGAAGCTTTGTGACGTTAATCAGCTGCCACCAGAGTACATCTGCGTAAATGGAAAGCCTCTATGTCATGAGGAGCTGCTGTTGTTACAGACCTGTCTGAACCCGCCTAAGAACATCAAACCAGGAAACTATTGGTATGACAAAGTATCTGGACTTTGGGGAAAGGTGAATATTTTCTTTTGTTTTATGGAGTTATGGTTAAATTTTTTTCGACTTTCACATGTTTTGCTTATCTGTGAGCTCTACACTACGCAATTTGCAGGAAGGAGATAAACCTTCACAGATTATCAGTCCGCATCTGAATGTTGGGGATCCCATTAAACCTGATGCTAGTAACGGAAATGCCCACGTTTATATAAATGGTCGTGAGATTACGAAATCGGAGCTGCGGATGCTGCAGGTTAGTATTAAATAAATTTTAAGATCTACTCACATCCAGTTAACATAGATACATTTAGTAAGTGATTTTGTGGAATATTACAGTTGGCTGGAGTCCAGTGTGCTGGTAATCCACACTTTTGGGTAAATGACGATGGTTCATACCAAGAAGAGGGGCAAAAGAACACCAAAGGCTACATCTGGGGCAAGGTATGAGTACATCTTTTGAATGTTATCTGCTTTGTTTTTGCATTTTATCTTTTGTACTTCTATTAATGTTCTGCTCTATTTAGGCGGGAATGAAATTGGTTTGTGCTTTCCTGTCGCTGCCTGTACCCTCAAGATCTAAGAACCTTTGCACAGAAGAAGTGAGATATGATGTTGAAAGACCTATTCCTGATTATATGGAGGGATCACTCCAAAAGCTTCTTTTGGTAGGAAATAATGGTTCGGGGACAAGTACATTATTTAAGCAGGTAAGGTATTCTCTACCAATTATGCTTCTATCTTGCTTATAAATCTATGTATAAATGTTCAGTTTCTAGCTGAGGAGTTTTATGCTCGGTATGCACGTGTAATGTAATGTATTGCATAATCTTTAAATCCTGTGGGGCCTGGTTTAATTTCGTTAAATAAATGTTACAGATCTAAGTATCATTGATATGAAGTGCAGAAGTTCAGAAACACATGTAAATGCTGACTGTTTGGGCTGACACGTAACAAACATTAAAAAATTCAGTTCAGTTATGGATAAACTCAAAACCCCTCATATGGAAAGAAGTGAGCTTAGAGTTTAAATTTATGGAAATATGGTTTCCGTTACTGTCACTTCTCCAAAGTTGTCATCTAAGCTCTACTTTCATGTATTAGAATCTTTTCTCAGATGTTTCCCCTTCAGAAACTAAGTGAAACCTAATTATAGGGAAGGAGTATAACCACTGATTGAACTTCTGTATCCTCCTATAATTCTATGTCATTATGTTTTCTAGCTAAATGTGCATGAACTTTAATGCAACTGCATAATAATTGGACAGAAACGTTTCCTTAGAATCTGCGTAATCTAACAGAAAATTGGATCTCCTGTTCATG